GGGGGGGGGGAGGACGACTACACGAAATCCGAATCATGATGCCACCAGGGTCAGCAAAGCCGCATCAACAGAGACCATCCTAAAAGTGGAGAGGGGGTGTCAAACGTTGCGGGGGTGCGTGATGTACATGGAGGGCGGGATGGACCAGAGGAGAGAGAAAGAAGAAGAAAAGACACGGCGATGGCGCAATAGCACGAGTGTACGTTTCTGTCCCGATCTGCTGTTGGTGTATGGTACGATTGAGCGGAGAGAGAGGGTGGGTGGGGAGCCAGACTCGAGAAATGGGGCATCACTCACCCAGACGTTTACTCATTGTAAAAAGTTTTATTTTATGAAGAAAGGCATATACTCTTTTTTTTTCCCCCCTTGCCATAAAAGATAGCAGCAAAGGGAGAAGAGAGAAAGAAGAAGAAAAGGACAGGCAGATTTCGAGGTTTCTTCCCAAGAGCCATGTCCTTCAAGTCGATACCCATTCTCGACTTGTCGCTGGCCGACGACCCAGCGACCAAGCCCGAGTTCCTCAGGCAGCTGCGCGATGCCCTCATCGAAGTCGGGTTCCTGTATCTCAGGAACTTTGGGGATGCAGAGGAATTGGTACCGGAGGTGATGGAGAAGTGCATTGCCTTTTTTGACATTCCCACTGAAGAAAAGCAAGTCATGTATATATATATATATATATTATATATATATATATATCCCCTCTCTGCCTCCCCTCCCCTCCCTCCCTCCCTCCCTCGTCTTCTTCTCTCCGTACACACATATACACGCACACACGCACACACGCACACATGAGCTGACTCTGCTCCCCAAGACTCAAGATCGAGATGAAGAATGCCCGATCCTTCCTAGGCTACTCCCGGCTCTCGGCCGAGATGACAGCCGGGGCGGTGGACGACCGGGAGCAGCTGGACCTGGCGACGGAGCACGCGCTCCCCGCCCCCGGATCCCCGCGGTACCACAACCTGGTGGCGCCGAACCAGTGGCCGAGGGAGGAGGTCCTGCCCGGCTTCCGCGCCTTGTACACCGAGTACATGCGACGCATGGGCCTCATGAGCATCCGGTTCACGTCCCTGATAGCCGAGGCCATCGGCCTCCCCGCCGGCGCGTTTGACCGGTACCTCGGCGAGGGGGAGCACCACAAGCTCAAGATTGTCAGGTACCCCGACCTGGGGGAGGTCGGCGGCCTGGGTCGGGGTCGGGGCCAGGGTGTGGGACCTCACAAGGACAGCATGCTGACCAGCTACCTCCTCCAGGCGTCCCGCCACCGCGGGCTGCAGGTGCAGAACGTGAGGGGCGAGTGGATCGACTGCCCGCCCGTCGAGGGCACGGTGGTGGTGGCCATGGGCCAGGGCCTCGAGGCCCTCACGCGGGGCGTGTGCGTGTCGACGACGCACAGGGTCCTGTCGCCGGAGGCCGGGTCGGGGCCGCGCTTCTCCGTGCCCTTCTTCCAGGGCGTCGACCTCGACACCACGTTCGACGACCTCGAGCGCACGGGCGTGGGGGCGGTCCCGGACGAGGTGCGCGAGCAGAGGCGCCTGGTGCTCGAGAGGGCCGGGGGCCAGCGCCTCGACGACGTCGAGTTCACCTTCCGCCGGGGGGGGGCCGGCGCCTCGACGACGCTCGGGGAGGCCACGCTGAGGAACAGGGTCAAGAGCCACCCAGATGTCGGGGAGAGGTGGTATCCCGACATTCTGGACGATGTCCGGGCGGAGCAGGCGGCCTTGACGGCGGCAAAGGTTCACTGACGATGCGTATGTACACATTTTATTTGCGCAAAAAATCTTTTTTTTAATTTTTTTTAAAAAAAAAAATAATAAAAGAAGGGTAGCGAGTAATGGCCATCCTTTTCTTTTATTCTTCACATCTTCTGGTGTGAATGCAGATGTATGCTCTTCTCATCATATATATAACGTCCCCCTCTGTAGGAGGTGACATGACCGAAGTAGAAGGAGACGAAGAGAAACACAATGCCAGCGCTCCAACCAAACACCATTCTCATTCTAAAAGATACAAAAGAAACGCCCATCAACAACTCCAACTCCCGCCCTCTATTCCGCTTTCGCGCATCGTCAAAGGAAAAAAAAAATCGTCGTCCGCTTGCGCTGGTGCGGGTATCTACTGCTGGAACGTGGGGAAGCAATCGGCCAACTGCTTGCTGTGCTTGTTTTCGGCGTGCTCCTTGAGACTATAGGCATGGGGGGGGAGGGGGTCAGGGAAATGAAGATTGATGATTGCTTTGCCGGGATTGCCATGAAAGAAGGGGAGGGGAGGGGGGAGGGAAAGAAGAAGAAGGCTTACGCGGGAGCTTTGGTGGTGCGCAGGAAGGTCGACTTGCAGACCACGCACTGGATGTCACAGGCTTGCTGGTTCTGCAGGATGGGAAAGATCGGCACGGGTCAACTCCGTTCGGGAGAAGAGACATTCGGGACAGAGGGGTAGGACTAGACATACCGTCTTGAGTTGAGACTTGGCCGTCTTCTGGTCCTTGGCGTTGCGCTCACGCTTCTGCTGTGCCTTGGCTCCCTGTTTTACCAAAGAAGAGGAAGAGAGAGGAAAGAGCCGTCCTGTCAGCGCCGATTTCGCGGGGTGGTGAGGGGGGGGCGGGAGAGGAGAGGAGAGGGCAGGGAACGTACGTTACCCATGATGGCGACTTGGGTGGTTGGTTATTGGGTCGGATGGATGGATGGGATGTTTTGAGAGTTGGTATGGTAGTGGTATGTCGACGAGTCGTGTAGGTGAATGGTAAAGATGAAGTATAGAATAGAGAGGAAAGGATGAGAGGATTCGTAATATGCGAGGAAGAAAAAAAAAAGGGAAAAGAAGGGTAGAGCTGAGACGAGCGGATTTCGCTTCAGTTTTTTTTTTTTTTTGTTTTTTTGTTTTTTTTTTTTTTAAAAAAAAACCATGGGAAATTTTCCGGTTCGGCCTTGCCGTTTACGAGTAATACGGTATAAAAGAAAAAGTCATAATATTGAACCCGTCCCGGTGCTCAAGTGTAGCACTACACCACCACTACTCCTCCCGACGAAATGTCAATATGGACTGCAATAACATGTATCGATGCTCTGCAATACGCCGTAATAGTACCAATGATACAGTGCAGATGACAGATGATCACAGGAATGGGCAGAGCACATGAATTCCGGCTAGTCTGGACCCTCTAATCTGTAGACCCTCCCGCCGGTCTGAGCGATCGCTTGCACCCTCTTCTTTTTGCCTGAGGCTGGGACATGGACTGAGAGGTACCCGATGAGGAAGTCAGCCGTATTATCAAGTCGCCATGAATCAATCATAGTACCTAATAATAATGATAATGCTGTAATAATACCGCTATCACTACCGTATGCAAGCAAGAAGAAGGTACATCTTACTTGCTCATGCTGACAGAGAGCAAAGAGATATCAATGAGACCTAAGGGGCTTGGAACTGCTTTACTCATAGTAGTCGTACTCATAGTACATTATACTGGCAAGAGGCGGGGGGGGAAACGGAGAGAAAAGAGGGAGAGAAAAGAGAGAAAAGAGAGAGAGAGAGAAAAGAGAGAGAGAAAAAAAGAGAGAGAGAGAGAAAAAGAGAGAGAGAAAAAGAGAGAGAGAAAAAGAGAGAGAGAGAGAAAAAGAGAGAGAGAAAGAGAGAGAGAGAAAGAGAGAGAGAGAAAGAGAGAGAGAGAAAGAGAGAGAGAAAAAGAGAGAGAGAAAAAATATCAATGATGAGACTGGGACTTGAACCCAGGAGGATTGCTCCATCAGGAATGATTGCTAAGGTAACCTTAACCTGACGCCATAACCAACTCGGCCATCTCACCAATCAATGGGATGGAGGAAGCCTGCATTATCGTATCCTACCAAGCTCTCTGTGGGACTGACATTCGCTCGCGCGCCTCTCTTTTCCACCATTGTAGTGTTCTCTCAGGTAGATTTACTGTTATGTCTGACAAGAGGCATCTATGCAATGCGCGTTCGTCGGCAGGAGAGCGTCAGGTGAGGGAGTGGGAGAAGAAGGAAGGAAGAAAGATGCATGTCTTGCAATGATATCAGTCGTCGTAGACAACGCCCGATCAAGGGTGTCTCACCCTTTCCCGATACATCATCACCAAAGCTGGTCTAGGTCTCTCACGGATGTAATCTGTAGTCTTGCCGAATATTCGTTCAGACCGTATGAGCCTGATATCGACCACGAGTCCACGACAAAGAAGAAACAGAAACAAGAGACCGACAGAGAGAGAGAGAGAGAGAGAGCCCGCTCCGTTCCGTCCATTGCCGGGTTTGGTTCCTGGCTGGGGGAGATTCGGTCGAGGGTGTAGAACATGGATGAGAATTAAAGTCTCGACTGCGAGCGCTGAGATCTCGCGAGTGCAAGCAGACTGACGGCCAACGCCCAAGAGAACTCCGTCACCCCACGGGGCGATGATGATAACGCGCTCGACGGTATCGGCAATTCGGCACATGATAGTTCTCGATCTTATGGTCATGAGACCCCAAATGGCATCTGTCACGTTGTTTTGAGCTCGGACCGACCGCGTTTCTTTTTCCTCTCTCCTGTTTTTTTCCTCCTTTTTTTCTTTTTTCTTTTTTACTACAGCAAGACCAGGACCAGTCGGTAGGAAGATGGCCATCTATGTTTTTTTTTTTTTTTTTTTTTTTTTTTTTTTTTGGTTCTTGTCTTCCACCACCTCGGACCGACAGAAATGATCGAGCCCATGATTATCGACAAATCTCAAAATTACCTATAAAGAGGGCATCCGTCACAATGATCCGACATTCTGAACCGGGTCAGGTCCCATATCGAGTCGTCGGTTCACAGTCTCGGTTCCATCTCTGCCTGTCTTGAGCTCTCGTCTCACTCTCTCCTGCGCGCTCTGCCAAGTGTTGCGGACGCATACATGACCTTGCCGAGATGCTTGCCAGGATGAAGCCATCGGCACTTCTCGCGCTGACCCTCCCGGCATCTGCCATGGCCCTGACACCTGCCCAGTGGCGCAACCAGTCCGTCTACCAGGTCTTGACCGACCGTTTCGCCCTCACCGATGGCTCAACCTCCTCCCCCTGTGACCTGAACTCGTACTGCGGCGGCACCTTCCAGGGCATCATCAACAGGCTCGACTATATCAGGGGCATGGGCTTCACTGCCGTACGAGGGTTTTTTTTTCTTCTTTTGTTTTTTTTTTTTTCGATCCCTCAACCACCTCCCCATCCATGATATCTCTCAGTCTGCTGACGAGGACCGAGCCGGTATCAGATCTGGATCTCGCCCGTCGTGTCTAATCTCGTGGGGGAGACCGGTGATGGATCCGGCTACCACGGATACTGGGCCCAGGACATCTATTCCATCAATCCCAACTTTGGCTCTGCGTCCGACCTGGTGGCCCTCTCTGATGCCCTCCACGACGCAGGCATGTATCTCATGGTCGACATCGTCACCAACCACATGGGCTACGAGGGCTGCGGCGCCTGCGTAGACTACTCCATATTCAACCCCTTCGACTCGGTAAGTCACGACTCCTTTCTCTGCCAACCCCCTCTCTTCCCTTCTCCTTCCTTCCTTTTGGCGTCCAGGTCAGGTTGGGAGAGCTCATTCGGATACACGTAGGATTCCTACTACCACCCGTACTGTGCCATCGACTACGGCAGCACAGACATCACGGAGATCCAGGACTGCTGGGAGGGAGACGGCATCGTGTCGCTCCCGGATCTCGCCACCGAGGACTCGGACGTCTTGGATATGTGGAATTCGTGGATCGCGGAACTCGTGAGCAACTACACCATCGACGGTCTCCGCATGGACAGCTGCTTCGAGGTGGACTATGCCTTCTTCGAGCCTTTCCAGGAAGCAGGTCCGTCATCACACACACACACACATACACGCACACGCACACACAATACAACGCATACACACAGCTCTCTCTCGCCAGGCCTCCATGTCGGCTAACGTGACTGTCACAGCACAGCTGGCGTTTACATTGTGGGTGAGGTTGACGACGGTGATCCCGACGTCGTGTGCCCCTACCAGAACGACTACAGTTTGAACCCGCTCAACTACCCTGCGTGAGTGTCGGCATCAGTCATCTTATCCGTGAGCCCCCTTCCCCGACCAGCTCTGCTGACATCTCCACCCCGTCCGTTTCCAGGTACTACTGGATCACGCAGGCCTTCCAGTCGACCAGCGGCAGCATCGGCAACCTGGTCTCGGGCGTCGACACGATCAAGTCCGGCTGCGCCGACAGCACGCTCCTGGGATCCTTCATGGAGAACCACGACAACCCCCGCTTCCCGTCCTACACGTCAGACTACAGCCTCGCCGGGAACGCCATCGCCTTCACCATGCTGGCCGACGGCATCCCCATCATCTACGAGGGGCAGGAGCAGCACTTCTCGGGCGCCAGCGTCCCCGGCAATCGCGAGGCCGTCTGGTCGTCCGGCTACGATACCACCGCCCAGCTGTACACGCTCATCACCGCCCTCAACGCCATCCGCAGCTGGGCCGTCAGCCAGAGCAGCTCCTACGTCACTTACAAGGCCTACCCGACCTACTCGGACAGCTCGACCATCGTGATGCGCAAGGGCGCCGCCGGGTCCCAGGTCATCGCTGTCTTCTCCAACCTGGGCGCCGACGGGGCCAGCTACACCCTCACCCTGACCTCGGGCGAGACGGGCTTCACGGATGGCCAGAGCCTGGTCGAGGTGCTGGCGTGCAGATTGTACACCACCGACTCGAGCGGGAACCTCGCCGCCGCCATGAGCGGAGGTGTCCCCCTGGTCTTCTACCCCGCCGCAAGTCTCGACGGGTCCGGAATCTGCCCCGACATAACAGGTTAGAATCTCATCCCTGTGTTTCGGAATCTCACAAGTATGGCCGTTGTGCTCAGTCACTGCCTTCGACACCATCCATGGCTGCCTTGCATATGTGAAATGGCCTTCGCTATAGATACCCTCTTTCTAACGCTGGGATGTTTTTCTTTCTTGTCGCACAACTTAGGACCCGGAAGTAGTAGTAGTAGTAGTACTACTACTACTACTACAGAGAGCGCAGCCAGCACCGCTGCCACTCACACGTCGTCGTCGTCTGCTTCATCCTTGTCATCTGCAACCGCCGGCGGCGCCTGCACCGACACCGTCCCCGTCCGCTTCTACGAGGCCGTCACCACCACCTACGGCCAGACGATCAAGCTGAGCGGGAACCAGGACGCCCTCGGCAACTGGGACCCCAGCGATGCCATCGCCCTCTCCGCCGCCGAGTACACCAGCTCCGACCACTTGTGGTACGTGAGCGTGAACCTGACGCCGGGCTCCGTCGTCGAGTACAAGTATATCAATGTGGCCGGGAATGGGGATGTGACGTGGGAGGCCGACCCTGACCACACATACACCGTGCCGACGACGTGGGCGACGCAGGCCACTGTGTCTAACACGTGGCAGACGTAGATGGCATGTTGAACTACAACCTGTCGTGTCATGTCATGTGTAGAGACTATCGGAAACGGCGGAATGTCACAAGGGAGCAGACTCGGGAGTTTCGGATGTTGGTATAATGTTGGTCTCAGGTCTCGGACTCGGAAGGGTTGAAGGACACTTATATACAGACGCAGATGGGAGACACTCAAACTGATTCGTGGCCAGAAATATTTGACCCCCACACACTCTACTACGTATGACACCTTTTGGGAATATATGGATAGCACACTGACATGTAGAAAAAGAATTCCTCAGATGAATCGAATGTAAAAAGGTGTACCCTGCTGAGCCATCCGGTGACAGAAAAGATCGGACGTCAGGTTTCAAAAACCCTGGCGTGGGGCAGACGACTTAGACGAAGCCGTGGCCCCCACAATCACCGAATTACCATCAGTAAGTAGTAGAGAGGAAGATTCGTGCTCGCGCCGCACAGAGGGGGCGATCGTACGGGGATCATCAGGGAGGAAGCAAACGATAGGCCGTCTCTGGCATCTGTATTCTGTGTATGTGCTTATCGGTAGTGTGGCAATCTGTACCGTTTGCCCTTCCACACAAAGGGCTAGGACAACTGGAGGCTATTATACCTAAACTAATAGCACAGTGTTCAGATCCGGTGAGATGGCCGAGTTGGTTATGGCGTCAGGTTAAGGTTACCTTAACTAGTTTCCTGATGGAGCAATCCTCCTGGGTTCAAGTCCCAGTCTCATCAAAATCTTGTTCTTCTTACATTATTTTTTTTATCTTCCTTTTTTTTTGGTGTGCTTTACGACTATTGCCACATCTCTGAAATCTAAAGAAATCTGAAAAATTCCTTTTTTTTTTTTGCTATTACACATATAGCAATAGCAATGATAGTAAACACCAGGTCTGGAATGTCGACGGGTCCTAGCATCATCGCCAAGAGTGTGTAGTACTGTCGCATGTGCACATGCCCAGTCTTATGCGCTGGATTTCCGTCTACAACAATGCACACTTATTCTCGCACAATCGCTGAAACGCTACGGACGCTCATGATCATTTTGCAATGGCTGGAGAGCAAAAGGTGTGTTTCCTTGTTTAGCAGGGGGAGGGGGGAGGTCAGGGTTAGTCATACCCCCGTCTTGACTCCCTTTGCTGGCAATCTGTATCTCCTCCCCCCTTCATCCTCATCCCAGCCCCTGGTCTTGTGAGGATCTCCGCCACATGCAGAGATCGCATCTAACTGCCATGCCTAGCGCTGCCCAGGTTGACGCGCATGGCTAGCTTCCTCTTCTCTTTTCCAGACCACGTCAACCCTCGCGAAAGGCCTTGTCCACGAGTCCGGCGAGCTCAAGTTCTAGCTGCGTACGTGTATAAATGTATGGCCGTGGCTCGCCGATGTGAGCTCGAAAAAGAGACGCCGGCAGCACTGTGCCTCTACTCCCAGCACAGTCGCAATGGTCGTTTGGGCCACGCTGAAGCTGTAGACGGATCCCTCCGCTCGCTTAGGCTGCCGTGGGAGATATGTTCCTCATCATATGAGCCGGGGCTCGTGCCTGCTGCGTGCGGGATGGCAATGTAGGCGGTTGCGGTACGCGCACCTTTCTCGTCTCTGCCCCTATCTGCGAAGTGCCTGTTGCTTTGTCTTCCTGCGGAGGGGAGTCGTTACTTCGTATCTGTCTTGAAGCGCCGCCGCTTCCCTGGCGATCGTCCCACGAACGTCCTCACTATTACCGGCAGGCTTAGAGCCACCGTCGCCATCGTCGTCGTCGTCGCTTCTAGGGCCGCCCTCTATGGGATCACCGACAGGCTCCTACAGCAGAGGATGCGGATAGGCCATTGTGCGTCTGATTGAACAGGCTCCTTCCCGATCACAAAAAAACACGCACACAAAAAAAAAAAACCGGGTGGTACCTCAGGCTTTACTATGTACTTCTCCAGTAAGTATACACATCCACAAAGGAAGGAGCTCCTCCTTCTTCCTCCTTCCGCCGTATGCTGTTCTCCCCGCGGTATGAGCTCCAATCCAGATATACGCATCCTTTCCCGGTCACTGTTCTGCCCATCATCGCCAACGAGGTGATAGGGGGATTCTACTCCCTCTGACATCATACAATACGGTGAGATGGCCGAGTTGGTTATGGCGTCAGGTTAAGGTTACCTTAGCAATCATTCCTGATGGAGCAATCCTCCTGGGTTCAAGTCCCAGTCTCATCATGTTTGTTTCTTTTTTTTTGTCTTCTTTGGCAAATTTCTATATTCTTTTCTGTTTCTTTTACCTCCCTACCCCTCTTCTCCCTTCCCTCTCTCTATGAATCTCAACTACTGTCACACAGGTATTTATTTGTTTCTATTTTTTATCTTCTTTTTTATCTTTTTTTTTAGCTCTGTCCGGTCTTTTTTTTTCTTTTCCTGTTTCGCAGCTGAATTGTTAGTCCTCATGAGTAGATTCTGCTCGACCAATAGCGAGCAATCTGGTGAGATGGCCGAGTTGGTTATGGCGTCAGGTTAAGGTTACCTTAGCAATCATTCCTGATGGAGCAATCCTCCTGGGTTCAAGTCCCAGTCTCATCATGGATTCAATGATTTGGATTTATTCAGAGTTTCTTTTTTCTCCAAATTTAATGCGGAAAGCTGCTACAGACTTTTCATTTTTGCTTGCATGTGCTCTGGTATAATGTTATATGATTATGCAGGTTCGGCCAACGTGCAGTTCAAGGTGGCGAGTCGACATTACTAAGATTGGCAGGTGCATGTAGCTTGTAGGTCACTCCTGCCAAAAATAGTAACCCTTAGAGATCCTGCCTTGAACATCAAAACATTAAACCCTTGAGCATCAAACTTGCCCTCGTTGATATCGATCGGCGAGCTAAATTGGCCCTCGATAGTGATAGATTTCCAGGTACTACTACAGAGCGTCCAGCCGGCGATTGCAGAGTCCGCGGTTACCTGGCGGCTGTTCTTGAAGCTTCACGAGACGCGTCGCGTTCCTCAGCTACGAGACGACAAGAGGTGGCTTCACCAGACACATGGCTTTCTCAATATACCGCATCTTCACGCGTGATACTCCCACAATTACGCATTTGGATATACATCACCATGTCGTCTCCCGATAAAATCACTCGGGAGGAGTTCGACCGACTGCTCACCGAGTATCCGGATCTTCTCGAGGCCACCAGTCTCTCCAAAGGGGGTAATGTTCTTTCACCCTCTTCCACTTTTCACTGGTACCGTGTTTTCTCTTAACAATGGTCCCCTCCGGGCGCATAGCGAAGGAAGGCCAAAAGTCACTGGCGGAGCTCGATCATTATCGCTATGTTGTGGCCCCAAAGCTGTTTGCCGGGGACGAGGCAGATGACAAGATGGACTTGGAGGTCATCAAGATCTTGGTCGAGTGGAAGCTGTAAGTCAGGCGCATGGATCCGCACAGAATCATCGCCAGGGGGGGCTCACCTTTTTGCGCGCAGGCGTCATGGTACATTTAGGCCTACCCTCATGAGCCTCGTATCCTCCAACGACCCCAAGGCAGCTTCAGATACAGTCTCCGGTGCCATCGAGGCATATCGGCGTCGTGACAACGCCAGCGAAGCCCTTTCTACCCTGACAAAGCTGAAGGGAATCGGGCCTGCAACCGCATCACTCCTGTTGACGGTCCACGACCCGTCCCGCGCCATCTTCTTCTCCGACGAGGCCTTTTACTGGCTCTGCTGCGGCGGGAAAAAGGCACCGGTCAAGTACAGCGCCAAGGAGTACCTGGCCCTCTTTACGGAGGCGCGTGAGCTTGCACGGAGGATAGATGTATCTGTGACGGACATTGAAAAGGTGGCCTATGTTGTCATGAAGACGAAGCGCAGTGAAACGGCGCTGGCTAATGGCCCTTCATCATCCAAGAGCGCCTCATCCCACACGGCTAAGAAGAAAGATCCCGCTAAGCGCAAGGCTGCTACTACTGAGTCAACGGCAGAAGCATCATGTTCGCTGCAAGAGGTGCCACCGAGACGGTCAAAGAGATCGAAGGCCTGATGGGTTCTACATGCCGGTGCATACATACCACCTGCTCATACGATACTCTCGTAGAGAATGGGGCGGAATCCACACCCCCTTTTCTGAGCAGGTGGATCTGAGTCTACATAGCCCACGTGCTGGCTGTCACTCCCAAAGACAGACGGTCCAGCCGACCGACGATGGCTCTGGTGCCAATATGCAGGTCAGAGGGGGGCGGCGTCGTGGGTGGGCTCTTCTCGTCCTGAACCTGTCGGCGCAGGGCTGATGTCGTGTGAGCGGATGCATGATTCATATCACCGAGTAGTGCGCGCATGAGTGCACAAGTGGATCATATTTCAGAAGTAGAATGCTCAAACATGTCTTGACAATTCCATTGTCGCAACCAGAAATCCCAATGCCCGGTATCAAGCCATATGATGAAGTTTTTTTTTCCCTCTTCCTGTCTGAGCATGGAGGTGTTACCATGTCCAGTTTCTCTTTCCCAGCCCAACGCCTTCCAAATCCATGGTGGTAGTAGCAGTAGACTCGACGAGTTCTTCAAGACGGTTGCCCGTCTTGTTCTGTTTGGCTGTTTCAGCACGTGCCGTCGTCATTCTTCCTTTCGCGGTTTACTTCGTCTTTGACGACTCGAAATCCTTGACGGTAGCGGCGTACTTGTCGCTGAGCTCATTGTAGCTCTCGTGGAGCTGCTCGGACTGCTTCTTGAGGGTGGCGAGGTCCTGGTCCTTCTTCTTGAGCTCCTTCTTAAGGGCGGCGATCTCGCCGGGCTCACCGGCGACGGCGAGCTTCTCGCTCTGCTTAGTGTCGTCCTTTGTACCCTCGTAGGAGCGGATGCGGTCCTCGAGACGCATGACCTCAAGGATCATGACGTAGGTGCGGTTGAGGATGAGGGAGAGGAAGAGGGTGAAGCCGCAGAGGTACATGTTTCGCTGGGAGTAGAATTTGCGGGCCTGGACTTCGAGACGTTCGTGACCGAGGGTGGCGGCACTGCAGAGTAGTAGTCAAGGAGGTTAGTTTCTCATCTCTGTCTTTGCATTATGTTGTGGGGAGAGAGAAGAGAGAGAAGAGAGAGAGAAGAGAGAGAGAAGAGAGAGAGAGAGAGAGAGATGTGTGTGTGTGTGTGTGTGTGTGTGTGTGTCAAAAACTCACCCTCCCTTGGAAACAGCCTCCGAGGCAGCAACGAGCTCAAGCTGAACACGGTACACCCGGTTGACACTATCGATGAAAAGGATGAGGATGAAGACGAAACAGATCTTCATCCAGTACTGGATCTTGGCGACGACGGGGCTCTCGGAGACAAAGGTGAAGATCTTGCGCTTAGCGGTGAACGGCAGCGGTACGATGAGCAGCATGAAGAGAGCCATTTCGGCCACGAGGAGGAAGAAGACCTAGGGGAGTCAAGAGTCGGTTAGCGGCGATGGCTTCTTCTCTCTCTTTTTTTTTGCCCTTTTTTTCTGACAGGCAGGTGGCATCCCTGAATGCACATACTAGACTAAAGTAGAGCGTCATGATGGGCAAGATTCGCTTTTTGGTTGTTGTCTCTTGTTGTCGTGAGGGGTGGTGGTGTGATGTTTTGCGTGGGGAGGGAAGAGAAGAAGAGAGAGAGAGAGAGGGGAGAAGAGTGTGTGTATGTATGTACGCAAGAAAGAGGAGAACAGGTTGGTTATGTAGCCGTGACAAGCAGCACAAAAGAAAATAGGCTATCGAAAGAAACTAACGAGGCAGGTAGGGAAAGGCCAGCAATGTGTTCTTCAGCTGGGGGGGGTGTTTGCAGGTGGAGCCTACAAGGTAGAAGGTAGAAGAGGACAGACGTCATCACTTGTTCAGTCTGTTGTGGTTGGTGGGTGCGTCATGGATGGGACGGGAACTGAGAATCTCCAGAAGGCGGGCGGGAAAGCTTCCTCTGAACTGCGCCCCCATTCATTCCCCGAATAACAAGATGGAATATTACAGATTACAGATTATATTATCAGACCACAGAATATTCATTCTTTACATGCACCCAGCCCCAGTCTGCTTACTGGCATATTTGTCTACCCAACGTGTATCATTTTACATCGTACTCTTGTTCCGAGCATTCCATGTAGAAAAAAAAATTATTATTAAATTAAATTTAAAAAAATTTAAATAGTAATAATAATAATTGTTTTCGGCAGACCATGCATCTGTCCATCTCAAAGGCTACTACTACTAGTCTACAGATTACTACCCCCCAGTATCACCAATGACGGAAATACTGTAGAACTGCTGCTACGATGCAGTGCAGCCCATCTTCCCCCGGATATGGCAACCCTGCTCGATCCGTGGATGATGATAACAAAGGCAACGATGGTTTTGGTATATCGCTTCATGAGATCCAGCTCTCACGACTGCCCCTTTGGCTCGAGGGTCCACAGATCACAGTCTTTAAGCTTGGCAGGCTTTCTCCTCGTCCTGCTGGGCTGATCCCTCTTCTGCGGCGTCGTCCCCCCCCTTCCCCCTTCTTCGTCAGCCTCGGCTTCGGCTCCTCCGCCATTCTTGCCGGCATGGTCAGCCTCGTCCGTGTTCACCTCCCCCTCTGCCTCGTCTTCGCTGTCGCCAATCTCGGCCACCATCCTACGAGACACCCTCTGCCTCTTCCTGATCTGGTCCACGGGCGCTGCTGCCATGTCCGAGCTTCCGACGGAAACTTCCGACCCTTGTCGGGAAGTGCTGTTGCCGGTGCCCGTTGCCGACGTGCCCCCGCGTCGGGAGACGCCGCCGCTGCGGCTGCGCGTCGCCCTGCCGCGGCCCCGTCGGGCTTGTCGGCCCTGCGTGTGCGTCGCCTGAGCCGTGCCGGTCGTCTTGGAGACGAATCGGCCGTCCGCCGTCCGCTTCCTCCTGTCCTTGGTCTGGGCCGGTTGGTTCTCTGTCTCGTCCTCGTCTGAGATCTCTCGTAGTGGTCGCTTGCGCTTGCGCGAGGGACGTGTCACCTCTTCCTCCTCCTCCTCCATCGCGGAGCCTACCTCGTCTTCATCGTCATCGTCCTCATCCTCGTCGTCGTCGTCGTCCGGCTCCGAGTCCGAGTTTGCACCTCTTCCTCGTGACGGGGAGCCATTCCTCCGGGCATTCTTCCGTGAGCGCCCCGTCCTCGAACCACGCGGCTTCTCCCCGATGTCGAGGCCGAAATCCTCTCCGTAGTCAAACGAGAGCTCCTCCCAGGCCTTGATGTTGCGCTTGGCCCGCAGCTCGATCCGGAAGCACCCGTTGACCAGGACGATCCTCGGCAGGATGTTGCACCGCTGGCCGCCGGCCTTCTCGTGGTTGATGTACCTGCTCAGGTTGCCATAGCGCGCACCGTCGATCCAGACGTCGCACTCCTTGAGCAGGGTGAAGTTGAAAGATAGCGCCTTGGTGCCGTCAAAGAGGTTCTGCCGCCGAATGTACCGCCGGTCGCCCTCGTCGCCCGACACCAGCTCGCCCACGTACTCGATGACGAACGAGTCCTTGGGCAGGTCCTCTGCCGCGTACAGCCCGTAGCCGTGGGACTGGCTCCTCCCCATGACCAGGCGCTTGGCCACGCCCCGCTGTAGCGCGCAGTTCTGGCAACCTCTTGAGTGCAGCTCGTCATCTTCTGCGTTCTTCGGGTCGGCGCGCTCCGCGGCCCCGCACGAGCCGCACAGGTCCGGGTCACACTCGCGGTTCAGCTGGATGCAGATGCACTCCTCGTCGAAATGGCACGTCTTGCCACGCGAGTGGCACGCACACCCCGTAAACTTGTATGCGCAGGCATCCACCGAGCAGCCGCAAAACTTCTCGCAAAACTGGCCTTTGCTGGCGCAGGGGCAGTTCGGGTTCTCGGGCGTGCAGGGCCCGTCGTGGTCGCATCCGCGGACAGAGCAGACGTTATCGATGTCTCGTCGGATGTGGTCCCAGTTGGGCCTGTGATACTTGTCGGCACCATGGCGCTTGGATAGCTTCTTCTTGTAGCGGTTGTACCATCCGAGGCTCGGCACCCCGGCCTCTGGAGGGACCCAGGGCGCTGGTTTCGGTTCCGGAAGCTGGGTGCCGATCGCCTGATGCTCTCGGTAGACGTCGCAGCAGTCACGGTTCAGGATGATGGCCGCATGGCATACAGGGTCGATGCCCACTCGAGTGGTTTCAAAGGACAGGTACATGGCACGGATGACTTGTCGCTCCCTGTCCGTCCACATCCTGAAAGAAGGAGACCCGTAATCCCGAACATAGTTCTCGTGGTAGCATTTGCGCGCGCAGGGGGTGGTGCCGTCCGTCCGGCTCTCGTGCCCCTTGGATCCCATGGATCCCATCTGCCTCTGCTTCTCGGCAAGCCGACGTACGATCGAGCCCTTGTCGAGCGAGAATCTCTCCCTCTGGTTGTCGTCGGTGTAGAAGCCGTGCTCGCACGAGTGCTTGAAGCAGATGAGGCAGCCTAGGGAGGAGTACGTGCTCATCTTGGACTCCAGGTCCTCAAAGGTATTCTTCCCTATGTCTTCGGCGGCATTCTTGTCTTCCGAGCTCTGGGAGTCTGCGCAAGCGAGGATGTCCTCGTCGAGCTGGAAGACATCGAACAGGTCTATCTCAGGGATGGTCACGCCATGGTTAGTCTTCACTTCCTTAAAGACCATCTTCCACGCCTCTGCGAACATTTCGGCGCCTCTCTCGGCCACAGGGCTGCTCTCCGCAATGGAGCGCCACGCCAATATCCTCGACCTGGAATCCGCCGAGATGACCTTTCCGCGGTTCTTGTCGACGAGGTACTTGACCAGGGCCCACTTGTCGAGCCCGGGGATCTGCAGGTTCTCGAGCCAGGTGTCGAGGTATCGGGATACCTCGACGATCCGGTCGTAGTGGATGACATATGTGCGCTTCTGGTCAATCTTGATGGCGTCTAGGCCAGAGCGGATCTCGGACTTGTCCAGCTCCTTGATGAATCCCTTCCACTTTTTCTGCTTGCGGGGGCTGTCCAGGTCGCCCTTGTGAGGGTAGAAGGCCATGGAGGTCTGCGGGGCGACGACGTTGCCCTCAACCTCGATGTGGTGGTTGAAATACCGAGGTACAGGCAGCTTGTTCGTCTTGATTGGCGTAGGCGAGAAATGCTCCTCTCTCACCCGCCCAGAAGGATCCTGAATCGAGACTAGGTCAGTCGGGAAATCCTTGGAGCCGGAATGTCGCATGGATGTAAGGTGATATGTACCTTGGACCTGATTTTCCAGGTTCCGGGTCCAGGAGCGGTCGAGCTAGAAGGCAGGTCGGCAAAGATGTCTCCTTGGACCTGAAACCGGCGCGCAGTGCGTCTTGTCGTCTTGATGGTCAGGCGAGCCAACTCGGCATAATCCGCCCTCATGTCACTCCGATATGACTTGAGGGCATCTACCAGCTGGGGGACAGTCCAAGAGGCGCCCTCCGCATCTGACCGTGTGGGCATGCCCGCTGACGTTGACCTCCTCAGAGGTGGCAGGCTGATGGACGCTCTGCTGACGCTGCGATAGGTCGAGCCGGGAGACCTCGTCTTCGAAAGCGATTGGCGCTCTGCATGCTCGTGAGAGCTCCGAGTGCTCCCGACGGTAGTGGGAGTTTCGGTATGCCGTCTCCCAGAAGAGAGATTATGCTCCCGGTGCCCTCGAAGATGGAGAGAGCTGGGGAACATAGGGGGACGCAAGCGTATGGTTGCAGATTCGTGAACTTCCCAAGACTGAGGCTGCCAGGAGTGAACTGAGAAAGGCTTGATCACAGCCCCGAGAAGTCGCCTCGGCGCGTCTGTGCGTTGGCTATGTCGATACGATGAGGATGAGTGTGATGTTTGCCTGTTGGCATTTCAGTCATGAGACGCAGTCAATCTGTAGGGCTAGCGCATCATCCCTTTTCGTGACGTGATGTTTTAATAGGATCAAGCTTTAAAGCGTGCGCGACTAAGAAAGAAGGACAAAGGGAGGGAAGGGAAAACGTGAAGATGAGCGTGCAGAAGAAGAAGAGATATGCTCAAGATTAAAAGGGGTGTAAAAAAATAATAATAAAGCCGACGATGAGATCCATTAACGCATCACCACGGGTTCCCAGCTCAAAGCTCCTCCTTCCTCAAGACGGTAAACTCGTTTTGATCGACCGAGTCCCATGATATTGCCCGTCGTCATTGGTCAACGTCGCGCGTCGACGGATTATGTAATGTTTTTTTTTTTTGAATTCGGTCACCTACCCTGCAGCACTTGTGACGTGCTCCCTGCTCGCGACAGCACACGGTGACCCGTAGAGGTGAATACGAGTGGTCTCCCTGCCTCCTGGTACGTCCTGGGTCGATGCGTGTGCATCCTGGTGCTTGATTTGAAAGGAAGGAAGATCTATCTGTGAGACTATTTACAGATGTGAGTGTGGCAGCGGCCTGTAGCTGCTCAGTCATGCAATCTTGGGTGCCACAGTGGTGTAGTGATTGCCAATCCTACTTGATCGCCGCAACGATACAGTTGACTGTTCCTACGCACGACACTGCAAGGTATGCGCTACGGAATTCCAACCTCCTGAATGGGCTGGTCCTACGTCGTGTGACAACGGTGAGTACATGTAGTCATGGTCAGTGTGGATCGCAGACGATGTGCCGTCGAATTGTTAGTGACTGACGTGAACTTGACCATGCAGGTACAGGTAGAACCACAGTACAGGTACGGAGTACACAGCAAGCGGTACGGGAAAACAATAGCGATGTCTTTACTTGCTGGTCATTTTTCTAGTCGGTAATAATGGTCTATTATGCGGCAAGATTCGTACTTGGTGGTAGTGGCATCGTTCGGCGTCGAGTTTAGAGCGTAATCACCGGCCGGATAGGGACAAGTGTGATTGCATATGTAGGAAGGGAATGGCCAAGATTCTCCGAATTCGCTAGCAGCACAGCCACCAGACCAAGAAACCTTGCTGTTGAGCCACCCCACCATGGCGTCGAGGTTAAGCCACAAGAGATCGTTTCCCGGATATACTTTTTTGGTAATATTTACTTGGGGGAGATGGAGATCGGGCGGTTATGCACGACGACGATCGTACATGTTTTTCTTCTTCTTTTCTCTTTACATTTTGCAGTCTCGTTTTATACCTTCTTTTTGTCACTCATGTCAGGATACCGGACGGACAGTACACGTCAGCTCCGAATTGCATGTCAAGGAAGCGGAAGATGGGGGATGTATAAGGAATAAACCGCTCTTCCGGATGCATCGGGCATCAGATCATGTTATCTTGTCATGCCGGAGAGTTCCCTTGGAAAGCAGTACAGATGATGATATACGGTATGATACCTCGGGACCAGGATGATCTACTCCAAGTCTTTTCTGATGCAGCTAGGAGAAGCCAGTAGTCTCTAGTGCCTGGTTTCGCAGCAACAGGAGATATTGATGTCATCATCGCCGTCGCGGCAATCGAGGACAATGACGTAGCGCAGCATTGTGGGCGAGCGGTGATAGAACCGAGCAGCACTAGCGGCACTAGCACTGGAAGAAGATATGTGCTGTCCGGGCCCAAGCCTCCACGTCCCACTGCTATGATCTCATTGCAACACTCTGCTAGAAGCAACACTGAATGGAATGCGATACACCCAGAGATCCCAGGGAGGCTGCCGAGAGGGCCGGCTGTATTCAGTATCATCAGTACTCATAGCAGTAATATCGCATCGTAGCACCTCGTGCCCGCCTGCTTGGTAGGACGACTGTTACCGTGCACGAGTGCTACGAGTAATACACACCACTCCGTATCATTATAACGTGTGTGAGTACGACAGGTGACAGCGCTAAAAAAGAAAAAAAAAATTGGACTCCCATCACAGTGAGACCAGACCCCAGGTACCTGACCCGAAAGCCAAGGCCCAAACCCCGTCGCCGCATCAACTTCTCCCGATGCATCCATAATAATCCCAATTCCCTCTCGTCTTTTCATCATCTTGCCCAGCAATCTTCTACCTCCCCTCCGACATCATAATTCCTCACTGCTATTCCCCCCCCTCAATTCTTTCCCGCCTACCGTCGCCGAAAATCCCGTCGATATCCTATCCGCCTCCGTGACATTCCTCGATCACCCACTCGTACCATCTTACACAGCTGAGTCTTGCCTATTACCACCGAACCGACTGAGCCGATCCCCCTCCCCCTCCCCCCTCTGTGTCGCATCGCCGCCACACGTCGCCGCCACACGTCGCCGCCACGATGCACCGTACCTACTCTCTGCGCCAGACTCGGGCCCCGACGGCCTCCCAGCTACAGGTCAGCTTCGACACTCCGTTGCCCCAAAACCTCTTCTCTAGGGAGATGTAGAATTCTCGTCGCGTTCGACAAGAGCCGTCCTCCCCTCCTTTGGCCAGACTCGCGGCCCTTCCTCCCCTCCCTCTCTCCCGCAACATGTTTCAGACGCTGACAGTGTCGCACGTGTAGAACCCCCCGCCTCCTCCGTCTACGACCAAGTCTGGGCGCTTGTTTGGCAAGGGAAGCTTGAGTAAGCCGTGTCTATTTTCTGAACTCGTCTCCACGGCAAGTCGACCGATGCACTGATACCGGGGTACCACACAGGCCATGCTCTGCGTCGCAACGCCGGCGGCGCCTTTGGGCCCGACCTGGCTAAGAAGCTGGCTCAGCTAGTCAAGATGGAGAAGAATGTCATGCGCAGCATGGAGAGCGTCGCCAGGGAGCGCATGGAGGTTGCCGTAAGTCACCACCCACCCCCCCCGCTGCGTTCACGCGCAGCAGCACAGAGCCCATGTGCTAAAGGTGCCCGCCACCGTGATAGCAACAACTGTCCCTCTGGGGCGAAGGTGGCGATGAGGACGTCTCCGACGTCACCGACAAGCTGGGCGTCTTGCTCTACGAGATCGGCGACCTGGAGGATCAGTACGTCGACCGCTACGACCAGTACCGCGTGACGGTCAAGAGTATCCGCAACATCGAGGCCTCTGTCCAGCCTAGCCGTGACCGTAAGTACAGGCCGAGGCCACGCACTCTCTCAACCCTGACAGCCCGACCCCTCTCACACATGTATCCTGACCGCTACCGCTCCCAGGCAAGCAAAAGATCATCGATCAGATCGCCCAGCTCAAGTACAAGGAGCCCAACTCGCCGCGCATCGTCGTTCTAGAGCAGGAGCTGGTGCGTGCCGAGGCCGAATCGCTGGTGGCCGAGGCGCAGCTGTCCAACATCACGCGCGAGAAGATCAAGGCCGCCTACTCGTACCAGTTCGACGCCCTGCGCGAGCACTCGGAGAAGGTGGCCATCATCGCCGGGTACGGCAAGCACCTCCTCGAGCTCATCGACGACACCCCCGTCACCCCCGGGGAGACGCGCGCCGCGTACGACGGCTACGAGGCCAGCAAGGCCATCATCCAGGACTGCGAGGACGCCCTGACCAACTGGGTCACGGCCAACGCCTCCGTCTCCTCCAAGCTGTCGACCCGCTCGCGCACCCTGTCCCAGCGTCGCCGCTCCAACATCCAGGCCCGTAACGAGGGTCACGGCCACGGCCACGGCCATCACCACATCGGTCAGGGACACGACCTCGCCTCCCAGGATGCGCCCATCAACGACGGGAGCTCCTGGGTCGCTGCCCCCCGTGGCCGCGACGGAGACCTCGACAGCGAGGATGACGACGAAGTCGACGACCGCGACCAGCACGACTCGGTCCTCGACAGTGACGGCGGACTGCGTGCCGACAACCGTGGGCGGACCCAGGAGGCTGTGATTTAGTCGAACACGCCTCTCTCCGATGACTTCCATCACGAATCTGTCTCCAAGGTCCTCTTTGGATAGAAGTATGCATGAAGAGAAAAAACAAAGGGAACGTGGGAGGAGTTGCTTTTCTGGGAGTTGGTTTTTTCTTTTCTTTTTTTTCTTTTCTTGGCTTTTATCTTGTCTGTTGCTCTTCAGGATCTGGAATCTCTCTCCTTTTCAAAGCCCGCAACTACGAAATCGGTCATGCCTTACTGGTACCACTACTGAGTAATTAGGCATAAAATATATCATAGGAATCAAGTCTATTATACATATGAAAAAGCCCGTGTCGTATCTATTGATTATATATTTCTGAACAGATCAAAGTCGTTTCCGGAGAAGAAGAAGAAGAGGAGAGTCGTCTCGTCATCACCAACACCCCCAAATAGCCCTGCTCAGATGATCCCAGCCGTACTCCTCAACTGACTAGCAAACTCCTCCACCTCCATCCTGATGATGTGCTCACCCGGAACGACGACGAGACCCAGGAACCGCGAAGTCATTCCGTCAGAGGATGTACCCGACTTTTCTCCGTCCTTGTCGGCGGCCACCGGGGATGTCGTCGGTCTTCGATACTCGTATGTCTGGGCAATGACGACATTTGTATCCTTTTTTTAAAAAAAAAAGAAATTAATTTTTTTTTACTGTTAGTAATAAATGAGGGAGAGAGAGAGAGAGAGAGGGAGAGAGGGAGAGAAAGATACCGGATCAGTGCATTTGAATGCGCCGCGAAACATGCGACCGTCTGTGGTCAGGATACGTAGGTTCTTGTTCAGCAGCGAGCTCAGATACTCTCTCGCCTCGTCCGTGTCACCCATCATGTAATGAGAAGGGAACGGAAGGGGGGCTTTCTCGTTTCGTTCACAAACCCCGTCTGCCAATGTCAGGGAATGTGTCGCTCTTGGGGTGGCGCAGTTCGGAACTTGGTGGGGTTGATTGTCGGTTGGGTGTGGGATGTAATAATAGTAGGAAGCCAGCGGTATCATAATAATCGATAAAAAAAAATATTACTGGAGAGAGAGAGAGTAAGAGAGAGTAAGATAACATGTGCCGTGGGAGCTTTTGTGGAGACATTTGAATGGTCAGCGTCACTTGCGTCTGAACACTTCAAGCGTGAATCTGGGCCTGTCTTGCTTCTTGTTCTCCTATTTCTTTTCCCTCACCTGATCTCTCCTTCACTCATCCATCATACTCGAGGGGACATCGCGGCTTATCAGAGAGCCATGTTCACGTCCCGAGACTATTGCCATCCCTGAAGCCGCTTGGGGTCCGGCCCACGCTACGCTTCGTACAACGAGAGATAATACATACATACATGCAGGGCTGTCCTGATTCACCATGGGCGTGAACGGTCTCTGGACAGTGGTGCAGCCGTGCGCCAGGCCCACCAACCTGGCTACGCTCAACCGCAAGCGCCTCGCCGTCGACGCCTCCATCTGGATTTACCAGTTTCTCAAGGCCGTGCGTGACAAGGAGGGCAACGCGCTGCGCAACTCGCACGTCGTCGGCTTCTTCCGGCGCATCTGCAAGCTCCTCTGGTACGGGATCCAGCCCGTGTTCGTATTCGATGGCGGCGCGCCTGCCCTCAAGAGGGCCACCATCCAGGCACGCAACCGGAGACGCGAGGGAAGGCGCGAGGACGCCGTCAAGACAGCCGGGAAGTTGCTGGCCGTGCAGATGCAGAGGATCGCCGAGGAGGAGGAGGAGAAGCGCAGGAGGAGGGAGCGTCGAGAGGGAAAGTCTGTGACCTCCCAGGTCAAGGAAGCAACGGCTCAAGATCAGGATGAAGAGGAACAGCTTCCGGACATGAATAGTGTTGTGTATGCTGGCGAGATGGACATGTCCCAGCAGGAACGGCAGCAGACGCGGAAATTTCACAAGCAGGACCAGTACCACCTGCCTGAGCTCGAGGGCGGCATTGCATCCATGGGGAAACCCGAGGACCCCAGAATCATGAGCGTCCAAGAACTCGAGGAGTATGCGCGCCAGTTTCACAACGGGGAGGACATCAACCTGTATGACTTTAGCAAGATCGATTTTAACGGCGACTTCTTCAAGAGCCTGCCGCCCCCGGACAGGTACAACATCCTCAATGCGGCAAGGCTACGCAGCCGGCTGCGTATGGGCCTCAGCAAGGAGCAGCTGGACGAGATGTTCCCGGATCGTATGGCATTCTCTAGGTTCCAGATCGAGAGGGTGAAGGAGAGGAACCACCTGACACAGCGCCTGATGCACGAAGTCGGTATGTCTGGGATAGACCTCACGATCGGAGTCAATGGCCGTATAGCCGGCGAGAAGGATCGAGAATACATCCTCGTCAAGAACGAGGGCGCCGAGGGCGGATGGGCTCTGGGTGTCGTGAGCAAGGAGAAGGATTTGGGGCAAGCCCATAAGCCGATCGATGTGGAAGCCATCCAGGTACAATACCAGTCGAAAGACGACGTCGATGAAGACGAAGACACCGATTTCGAAGACGTGCCCATCGAAGGTGTGAACCGCCTGCCGAAACTATCTTCCAGCTTTTATGCGACTCAAGATAGTACTTCCATTCGGAGACAACAATACTACGGCGCCCAGAACCAAGGAGCCGACGAAGACGTCGAAGACTCGCTCTTTGTTGGCGGCAACACGGGCGAGAACAACCAGGTCGTCCACGAGACTGCCCATGGTAAGGGGTTGCATCCAGACGAAGAGGACGACCTCAGTAAGGCCATTGCCATGTCCCTACAGAGCCAGCATGGTGCTGGTGCTATGGATGAGTTTGAGGCGGTGTCCGATGGGGAAACGGAGGAGGCTGCTCCTGAGTGGGTTCAAAGGCCTGTTGAACCCGCGAGGCCCATTGTTGGCTCTGGGGGCCTAGTGATTGCTCATGCCGTGAACAACCGGGCCAATGCTGCCGTCAAAAGGAGGCAAGAGGCTCCCCAGGAAGTTGCTGTCCATCAGAGTGACAGCGATAGCGACGACGATATGCAGGCCGTGCTGGCCCGATCTCGCAAGAAGAGAAAGGAACAGCCGAAGACCGTGATAGAAAACAAAAAGAATCCTTTCGATGGGCCCTTGCCCTTTCCAAAGCTCGACTGGCGCTCATCTCTGTTCGCTACCGGCCAACAAGATGATATGCAGCCGGAGAAGGACAAGGCTGGTGAAGGCGTGGATGATCTAGCAGTCGTGAACGATGACGCAGGAGGGTTCGAGAAAGACGGCGAGAATGAGCAACACCCTTTGCCACCGTGGCTCGCAGACCAGACCGATATCCGAGAGTCTATTCGCAAACAAAAGGATATCGACAGGGATATCAATGCGGAGGATAGGGCACAGGCAGAGGAGGAAGAGAGGGTCCGTCGCCGCCAGATGAGAGACGCGATGATCGAGATTGAATCCTCGTCTGACAGTGGGAGCGATGTCGAGATACTCGACAAGCCTCCATCCCCGAAACCTGAAAAGAAGACACCAGAGCAAAAGGTACCGGACCCCCCCATGGTCGAGGTAGAAGAAGTTGCTGCTCCCCAGGTCGAAGATGGAGATGTGGCGGACTCATCTGAGCCCGAGTTTGAGGACGTCCAACCCCCCGAGGAAAGGGAGGAACAGAATCTATACACGCATATCGGCTCACCAGAGCCTGAGCTCAAAGACTTACCTGTGACATCGACCTCTGCCGAGGCGCATGATGGAGAGGCGTCTGAAAAGGCTACTGGCGAAGATTTTGAGGCATATGAAATGGAACCAACACAGCATCATCAGCCGAAGACAACGGCTGAACAGGACGATGACGACCTTTTTGACGATGCCGAGTTCGACGAGTTCAGTGATTCGGAGGACGAGGAACTTCTCGCGCAGATGGCCGAAGAGTCCGAAGAGCATGCCCGATTTGCCAGCGAGCTGAATAACAAATCGGCAGAACAGAACCGGGCAGACTATGAGACGGAGCTTCGGCAGCTCCGCAACCAGCAAAAGAAGGACCGACGTGATGCAGACGAGGTCACCCAAGTCATGGTGACGGAGTGCCAAGCCCTCCTGCGGCTATTTGGCATCCCCTACATCACAGCACCGATGGAGGCCGAGGCGCAGTGTGCGGAGCTGGTTAGTCTCGGGCTCGTGGACGGTATAGTGACAGACGACTCGGATATCTTCCTGTTCGGAGGCACTCGTGTCTACAAGAACATGTTCAATACCAACAAGTTTGTCGAGTGCTACCTCGCGTCAGACCTCGAGAGGGAGCTCTCCCTATCGAGGGAGCAGCTCATATCACTGGCCCAGCTGCTGGGGTCCGACTACACCGAGGGCCTGCCTGGCGTGGGCCCCGTCACGGCTGTCGAGATCCTTTCCGAGTTTCCCGGAAAGACGGGGCTTGAGGATTTCCGCGAGTGGTGGTTGGCCGTGCAGTCGCAGACACGCCCAAAGGAAGCGGACGCATCGTCACAGTTCCGCAAGAAATTCCGCAAGTCGCAGGGCACAAAACTGTTCCTCCCCACAGGGTTCCCAAACCCTGCCGTATACGACGCTTACATTCACCCGGAGGTGGACGACAGCACAGAGGTCTTCCAGTGGGGAGTTCCGGATCTCGAGGGCCTGCGTCGGTTCCTAATGGCCACGATCGGGTGGAGCAAAGAGCGGACCGACGAGGTGCTAGTGCCCGTCATCAGAGATATGAACAAGCGTGATGTCGAGGGAACCCAGAGCAATATAACCAGATACTTTGACGGGAGTGTCGGGGTCGGGGCTCGAGAGGTCTTTGCTCCAAGGCAGCGGGCCCAGGGAAGCAAGAGGATGCTGGCGGCTGTGGACAGGCTTCGTACGAATGTCGCGGGAAGGCAGCCAGATGCGAGCTCTGATTCAAGTCCCAGCGCTGGAGCCGATGTTGACGAGTCCCGGAAGAGAAAGAGACGGACTGCAAGAGCTGAAAAATCGTGATGGGGAGATGGTGCGATCGTGGTTGGGACACAGTCAGCAGGACGTATCGCGTTGCTCCTTCCAACATGCGTGTATTTATCTCGTCAGGTCAGATCCTCTACCTCGACGTACAGGTATCGGGTAAAAATGCAAGACGCCAAATAAACATCAGCTATTCAATCCACACATATACCTACTGATACACCTTCCCAGCAGCGCTGTGTTCCACGCCGTCGCCGCCTATCTCAAGAGGCTCGGCGTAGCGGCTTGGTGGTTCTCCTCACGATGACAGCTCGGCACGACGCGGCCCCCTTCTTACGATGATTTGTTCTCGGCCTACGTCAGATGAAGATGGTGCCTTTTTTTCCTTCCCTTTTTTTTTTTCATTTATTTTTATTTTATTTTAATTGAAAAAAAAGGAATGTTTGCTAACACGAGATTGTAGCAGAGCTTCGTTACCGGCGTCGCTATGGGCTGGTACTCCCACCTAAAATCATATCTACGCACATTCACGCCCACGCAGCGACGCGACCTGATACTGTACATTGCGGGCAACAGCGTCCTCAAGTTCGGGATGGAGCCATAGGTGGCCTCGATATTCCGCTTCGCTGGGGGGAAGATCAAACTGGAACTAGGCAGGCAGGCAAAGTCGCCGTACCTCACCCTCTTCTTCGGCTTGGGGCTGGGCATGCGGTGCATGGGCACGCTCCTGGGCGGGGTCCTGATCAAGAGGTTCGGCACGAGGACGGTTCTGTCCTGCGCGACAGTCCTCATCGGCCTGCTCACGGCGACGCTCCTCACCGTCGATGCGGCCACGGGCGGGCGGTGGATGGTGAGTCCTACGATATACGGCAGGTTTAGGCCAGGGCTCGTGTCGGCTGTATACTTCATGTGCTGCTCCTGCTCGGGTGCGATCGACCTCATCCGTGTCCTGATCCCGGGGGAGATTGTGGATGGAGAGGTCGACAAACTGCGAAAGATGGATCCTCTGGTGAGTCGCGCGTGCTGGCGATGGAGGCAGGTCGAGACGGACTTCTGACCGCATCCTGAGCCATGCTGAGCTAGATCCGCATCTTGTACGAGTTCGCCTCGATTGCGGGATGTCTGATGAGCTTGCTCGTCTTCCTGCCGGTGATGGGAAGCCGAGCGTTCATCGTCACGTCGGTATGCTGCTTTGCCTCGGCGACGTCCTTCTTCTTCATATCGAGTCTCGGCTTCGAGTGGGATGACGGCGGCGTGGTTGCCGGCCCTCACCGCTGGGCCTGGCTGCTGGTGCGGTTCGTCCTCAAGTGCCTCTGGGGCTCGCTCCGTACCTTTATCCTCGGAACCAAGGTATTGTTCAGCCACCGCGACCTCGCCTGGCTCGTTCCTGGCTATGCCGTCGCCGCGTACGGACACAGGTACATGGTATCAGCCCTGGTGCCCCTTGCGAGCGGCGCCTACAGGCTTGGAGAAGGCTGCTTCCTCATCTTGGCATGCGGGTCCAGCCTGGGCATGGTCCTGGGCTCTCTCATCGTCTTCTGCAGCAGCCGCGTCAAGACACCCATCTTCTGGCTCCGGGTCAACTCGGCGGTGATGCTCTTCCTGTGGATCACGCCGTTCTTCCCTCCCCCTCCGGGAAACACTGGGGTTCTCCTGCTGGCGGTGGGCTTCACGACGTTCCTGTCGGTAGGGTATGGAGCGGCCGCGTCGACGGTTGCCTCGTACGTGCAGGATATCGTGATGCGCGTGGAGCCGAGACCGGTCCAGGGCACCTGCGTCAGGGGGATCCTGGCCTGCCTGTTCTGCATCGAGGTGGCCCTGTACACCATCATACGCTTCCCGCTCGACCTGTATCACGGCGGATGGACCGGCGCTGTGCACACCCGATTGCTGTGGACAGCCGCGGTGCATTTCACCATCATCTCGATCATCACCTTCTCGGCGACGTTTGTACCTAAGGGGGAGGATGCGCGGCGGGCCATTGTTCGGGACAACAGGGCCCTAGAGGGTGTCGGGCTGGGAAGAGGAGATGGTGCAAGTATCAGGAACGTGACAGATGCCTCTTAGGTGGGTTAGCCACGCACAATATGTGCATCTATATATATATATATATATATATATATATATATACATACAGAGTATATACATATAGAGTATATACATACACGAAGACAGTATACATATAAAATACGGATTGTACGTGAAACCGACGAGAAGAGAAAAAAAGAAAAAAGAGAGAAAACGCCGGGGGAGAGTAAAAGAAGGAGAAAGGAAGAAGGAGGGTCAAGGAAAAAGAAGGCTAGAATTATCATTAGTCTATGTCCATGGAATCTACGTTATCGAAAGACGTAGCGATATCGGAGTTGGGTGGTTGCGTCGGAGTTGGTGGCATGGCGTCGCCTCCGCATAGAGGGCCGTGATCAGCAGTAGCACCAGTAGCGGTGCTGGAGGCATCAGCAGCGACGACGACACCATGCCTCTCAAGCCTCTGCTTCTCGCGCAGACGGTTCCGCGACTCGATGATGGCCTTCCTCACGCCGTCCTTCTCCTCCGAGACGGACAGGGACTTTGGATCGCTGTATAGGACCATCTGCATGCCGGCCAGCTCTCCCCGGTCGTTGGCGAGGATGTGAGGCGGGATACGGTTGGCCATGAGATGCTTGTCTATGTCGGAGAGGAAGATGAGGCGGCCGTCGTCGGAGGTGGCGGTGTCGTCGTCGCCATCGGTTGAGGACAGCTCGTCGTCTAGATCGTAGATGTAGACTTTATGTTTTGAGTTGTCGAGATGCATCTCATCGTCGTCGTCGTCGTCGTCGTCGTTTGAGGTTGGTAGCTGTTGCCGTTGTCGTTGTTGTAGTTGTAGTTGTTGTTGTTGTGCTATCGATGGTTGCGATGCGGTAGGAAGGGTAGCTGGAACAGGAGCAGCTTGCCCGGCGGATGGATTCTCTACGGGGACGTATAGTTTGGATCCATTTCTTTCTTGTGGGACGGTCAGTCTTGTGATGATGAGAAAGAAGCAGAAGAAGAAGATAGTAAAGAGGAAGAGAGAAAAAAAAAAAAGAACAAAAGTGCATACCCAGATTGAGTAGACTGAGACGTTTGGTTAGACGCTCATTATCCTGGGACGCAGCCTTTCTCTTGGTACCGGCTTGAGGGCGAAGCACATCGTGGCCTGAGGCTGCTGCGTTGCTGATGGTGGGATTGATGGCGTTTGATGTTGTCGGTGAAGTGCGCAACATTGTTTTTTAAAGATTGGAAACCAAAAAAAAAAAAAACAAGATTAGTTCTCTCCTCCGTATCAACGAGCAAAGAGCGCGCGCGCTCGGCCCTCTCTGTCTCTCTTTCCTTTCCTTCGTCGGAGCGATCGAGAGAGAGGTTTGATCGGCTTTCGATTTATTGCAACTCAAAGTTCATCGTCATTGGGGGGCGGGGGATTTTTGCTGTACAGGACCAGGGCCGATGAAGGGGGCGTTGAGGCGCGGGCTGGAATAAGAAGAGTGCAAGTAAGCAAGGGGCGAAAAGACGAGGGGGGGGGGGAAAAGAAGACTGCTGAGGGAGGAGGAGAGAAAAAGAGGAGGAGAGAAGATCCTTTTTATGGGAAGGGTTTGCTGAAGAGATGGGGATGATGTCGACGACGAGAAAGGTGGCAGCAGCAGGAGCAGCAGCGACGGCAGGTGGTGGCGGCTCGGCCAGATACGGCGGCGGCTGTCTGACCCATTCTTGTAGAAGTTTCCAGCCGAATCCACCAACGACAGCGATGGCAGCAGCAAGACGATTGCACCTCCAACATACACCAACATCACCAGAGACGCGCGCCACACTGTCCATACGATCCCGCAGAGCTTCCTCCATCTGGTTATTCTGCGACCGCCGCTGTCGACCATTTTCCTCGTCCAGTGCCATCATGGCTGAGTCGCCCGCGTGGCCGGCCGCGCGCGTGCGTCAGACCTTTATCGACTTCTTCGCCGAGAGGGGTCATTCCGTTGGTAGGCTCTTTTTTTATTCCTCTTCTGCTGCCCCTCCCTCTACTCTCTCGGTCCCCGGATTCTGCCCCTCATCGGGATAACGTCATGAGAGGAAACGACTGCTTTGTTGATGCAAAATAAAACAAAATAAAACAAAAGCATGAAAAAAAAAATCATCTCTACTCTTATTCTCATACTGCTACTGCAAAGTTCGCAGAGGGCATGTCGTCGCTGACAATGCACACGCCATCACAGTCCCCTCCGGTCCCGTCGTCCCTCACAATGACCCCTCCCTGCTCTTCACCAATGCCGGCATGAACCAGTTCAAGCCCATCTTCCTCGGAACCGTGGGCAAGACTGATCCCATGTACGGCCTGAAGCGTGCCGTCGACTCGCAAAAGGTCATCCGCGCCGGCGGCAAGCACAACGACCTCGACGACGTCGGCAAGGACAGCTACCACCACACCTTCTTCGAGATGCTGGGCAGCTGGTCCTTTGGCGACTACTTCAAGAAGGAGATCGTCGAGATGTCCTGGACCCTCCTGACAGAGGTCTACGGCCTAGACCCCTCCCGCCTCTACGTCACCTACTTCGAGGGTGCCCCCGACGTCGGCCTCGAGCCCGATCTCGAGGTCAAGCAGTACTGGCTCGACCAGGGCGTGCCCGAGAGCCAGATCATCCCCGGAAACATGAAGGACAACTTCTGGGAGATGGGTGACCAGGGCCCCTGCGGACCTTGCAGCGAGATCCACTACGACAAGGTCGGTGGCCGCGACGCCGCCGGCCTCGTCAACATGGACGACCCCATGGTCATCGAGATCTGGAACCTCGTCTTCATGCAGTACGACCGCCAGGCCGACAGGAGCCTCAAGCCCCTGCCCGCCAAGCACATCGACACCGGTCTGGGCTACGAGCGCCTCGTGTCCGTCATGCAGGACACCAGCTCCAACTACGCCACCGACGCCTGGACGCCCATCTTCCAGAAGATCCACGAGGTTACCGGCGCCCGCCCCTACACGGACAAGTACGACAGGGACGACGCCGACGGCATCGACATGGCCTACCGCGTCGTTGCCGATCACATCCGTACCCTGGCCTTTGCCATCGTCGACGGCGCCGTCCCCAACAACGACGGCCGCGGTTACGTTATCCGCCGCGTCCTCCGCCGCGGTGTCCGCTACGGCCGCAAGTACCTCAACGCCGATATCGGATCCTTCTTCTCCCAGATCCTGCCCGCCCTCGTAGAGCAGAAGGGCGCCGACTTCCCCGAGCTCGTCAGGAAGCAGCAGGACATCAAGGAGATCCTCGACGAGGAGGAAGACGCCTTCTCCCGCACCCTCGACCGCGGCGAGACCCAGTTCGAGAAGTTCGCCGCCAAGGCCTCCAAGGAGGGCTCCAACAAGCTCGCCGGCGATGTTGTCTGGCGCCTCTACGACACCTTCGGCTTCCCCACCGACCTGACCAAGCTCATGGCCGAGGAGCGCAACCTCGACATTGACGAGGCCGAGGTCGAGGCCTCGCGCCAGAAGGCCAAGGAGGCCAGCAAGGTCGTCAAGGACTCGGTCCAGCAGTTCCCCAAGCTGGACGTCCACCTGATCTCCGAGCTGGAGCGGCAGCTGTCCACTCCGCGCACGGACGACGCTGCCAAATTTGTCAAGGGCGACATCAAGGCCAGGATCCAGCACATCTTTGACGGGGAGAAGCTCCTCAAGTCGACCCGGGACGTGCCCGAGAACACGGCGCTCGGACTGCTGATCGACAAGACCAACTTCTACGCCGAGTCCGGCGGCCAGGTTGCCGACACGGGGCGTCTCGTCATCGACGGCGTTGCCGAGTTCAAGGTCTTGGACGTGCAGAACTACGGCGGCTACATCCTGCACAGCGGATACGTCGAGTACGGTGCTCTCTCGCGGGGCGACGAGATCATCTGCGAGTACGAGGAGCTCCGCCGCGCGCCCATCCGCAACAACCACACGGGCACGCACGTGCTCAACCACGCTCTCAGGGACGTCCTCGGCGACGAGGTCAACCAGAAGGGCTCGCTCGTGGACAGCGACAAGCTGCGCTTCGACTTCTCGCACAAGAGCCAGGTCAAGATTGACGAGCTGCGCAGGATCGAGCATCTGTCCAACCAGTACATCCGCACCAACGCCAAGGTGTACGCCAAGGACCTGGACCTGGACGAGGCCCGCAAGATCGAGGGCCTCCGCGCCGTCTTCGGCGAGACGTACCCCAACCCGGTGCGCGTCGTCTCCATCGGCATGGACCTGGACAGGATGCTGGCGGACCCGAGCAACGCCGAGTGGCGCAAGTACAGCGTCGAGTTCTGCGGCGGCACGCACGTCGAGCACACCGGCCTGATCAAGGACCTGGTCATCGTCGAGGAGAGCGGCATCGCCAAGGGCATCCGCCGCATCATCGCCTACACCGGCGACGCGGCGCACCAGGTGCAGCGCGAGGCGGCCGAGTTCGCCAAGAAGGTCGACGCCCTCGAGGCCATGCCGTTCGGCGCCGAGAAGGAGGCCCGGATCAAGGCCACGTCGCAGGAGCTCAGCCAGCTCGTCGTGTCGGCCCTGACGAAGGACCAGCTCAACCAGCGCTTCCAGAAGATCGCCACCGACGTCGTCTCGGAGCAGAAGAAGCGCCAGAAGGCCGAGGCCAAGGCGGCCGTCGACGCCGCCGTCAAGCACTTTGACGAGAACAAGGAGGCCAAGTGGTTCATCGGCCGCCTGCCCATCGGCGCCAACCCCAAGGCCCTCACCGAGGTGGTCAAGCACTTCCAGAGCAAGAAGAAGGACAAGTCGGTCTACGTCTTTTGCGGTAGCAAGGAGGAGGGTGCCGTAGCTCACGGTGTCTATGTCGGAACGGTATGCTCTCTCCTCTCTCTCTCTCTCTCTCTCTCTTCTCTGTCTCTTTTCCATACCACTTTCCGTCTTCTTCTCTGCCCTCTTCCCTCCTGCTCTTCTCATCCTTTGCCTTGTCTTTATTTCTACCCCCCATCTACACGTGTGATCGTGTGTCTGACACAATGCAATAGGACCTCTCCTCCCAGGGAGTCACCGCCGAGGCATGGGCTGCTTCCGTGTCTGACGTCATCGGTGGCCGATCTGGTGGCAAGGAGCCCTCCCGCCAGGGACAGGGTACTAAGCCCGAGGCTATCGACGACGGTGTCGACACGGCGACTAAGTGGCTCAGCGAGAAGTTGAAGCTGTAGATGTGGTGGATAGCAACTTTATTACTAGTATAAAGGGAATTATTTTTAACAGCAAGGGAATGGGAAAAAGGAAGGAAGGGATTATTTCATGTATTAGAAAAAAATCCAAAAAATTCAACTCTCCGGCTTGATGATGCCAACTACGGAAATTGGGGTCTTGTTTCCTTTTTTCCCCCCTCCCTTTGTTTCTATGGCTTTCATGTTGAGAAGGGTTAGGGTTCGGGGTTGAGAAGGTCTTTAGAGATGTACTACTGTCTGCTTGCGTGTTCAGAGACGTGCATGTCTCCATGACTCTTGATAGGGGTGGGTACGTTGAGGGAACGAAAGCTTTTCTGTAATAGTAGCAGACAGAAAGTAGTTGTGAGATTCCGATACGAGAGTTGAAGGGGAGTGCCAAGGTGGCTTGTTATTCAATTCGATGTACAGGAACGTGTGTGCGTGACAAGGAGGCACGGGAGGGGAAGAGAAACAAGATGTGTGCAGCAGCAGCTATGTATATATATCTGATGCATGATGCATGGAGACGACTACACGGTCACCATGACGCTGGCATTCCGGTAGTGAGATAGCAGAGGATTCTCACCGCTCCGGGTCTCGGTGTCCTCGACATAGGCCCAGTGACGCATAAAGTCCTCGTGGGACATGACGCGGGTGAGTTTCCCGGTGACGGCACGGTAGATGGCCTCTGTTATGTTGAAGTCTGTGGGGAAGAGGATGTCAAAGTAACCTTGGTGGACCTGTCTTGTCTGTCAGCCCGGCGGGGAGGAATAGAGATGGAAGAGTAAGGGAAGGGAGGGGAATAGAAAAGGGGGGGGGGGGGGGGGTGGAAAGCATGACAGGACAGAAACACACCAGAGGAGTCGAAACAGGGACGGTAGTCCTCTTGTAGCGAGTCTGGACAACAGGAGCGTTGAGACCCTTGATGGCCTGGGGGAGGGAGTTGAAGTCGGAAGAGACGAGCCTGTGGCCGGGGAAGAACTTCTCCAAGACGTCGAAGAACTGGAGGAGCCTGGTCGGTATGAACTCCGGGCTGGATAGGTTGGGCGCGAAGGGGAGGCGCGTGGAGAGGGAGCGGAGGAGTGGGTTGGTTGGGTAGGGCCTGGGGTACTTGCCCGCGGTGGCGGCGTCGCGGATGCGCAGGAAGCGGGAGGCCAGGGGGTCGAGCTGGCGGAGGTAGAACTCGTACATGTCGTTGTCCGCGTCGATGAGGACGTGCGCCTGGAGGGGCACCTCGGCGGCGACGTCATAGCGGATGGCGTCGTGGGCGAAGTTGTCAAAGACCTCCATGGCGAGGAAGAAGCAGGGGGAGGGGACGTAGCGGTCCCACTCGAAGATGGAGCGGTTGACGATGTCGACCTTGTCGGCGTGGCCGCGTGACTCGGCCGTGGCGGAGAGCAGGTGACGCTCCTGCATGGCGGCCAGCGAGGGCGAGATCTCGATGACGTTGTAGCGCGTGCGCTCGTAGACCTGCGGGTCGATGGCGCGGATGTAGTCGAGTATGTTGAGCATCAGGGTGCCGCGGCCGGCGCCCATCTCGAAGATGAGCAGGTCGTCGTACGGGTACGTGTGCAGCCGGTAGTTGGACACCAGGTAGCGCGCCATGGCCTCGCCGTAGTAGGGTCGGAAGAGCTCCGTGGGCGTGTGCCACAGCTGCCGCGTCGGGTTCTCGCCCTCGGCGTCGTCCAGGGCGTCCTCGAACTCGGTGTACCGCCGTCCCAGCTCCGAGTTGAACTCCAGCTCGTCCCGCATCGAATTGAAGTCGAAGGGCTCGCCTGGGCTGAAGATGACGGCTTGCTTGGAGAAGTAGCCGTAGGCGGGGTTGTATAGACTGTCTGCATGCAGATGTCAGAGAAGCGTGGGGTGGGGAAGACGCGAAGATGATGGAGCCTGGAGCCTTACCGTCTATGAAGTCCCGGAGCAGCATCTTGCATCGTCGTGGCCGCTCCGTGCGAGCCTTGAGATCCCAGCTCGACAGCTCGGGGTACTGGGCGAACTCGGCTGTGCGGTCCTCGGGCATGATTGTCGACCGCTGCTGCCACCGGGACTCGTTGGACTTCATGCCTCGGTCCTTGGATGCCCTTGGCCGTGCAGAGTACGTCCGTCGCGAGGGTGGGCGTGAGACGGCGGCGCACAGCTCATGGCGATGGTGGTGATGGCGGCCGGCAGCGGAGTTTCGTACACATCCTCGCGGTCGATGGCGGAAGAGCTGGCGAAAGAAGTCGGATGCTAGACGGGAGTCCATCGTCGTTAGCTCTCTCTCTCTAGCTCTTCGTCTGAGCTGTCCGCTCCTCTCTCCTCTCTCTCCGGCGCGCGTCCCTGGAAGGAGGAAAGGAAGGAGGAAGGAACTGAAGGCTCACAGAGAGCGGGAGAGCGAAAGAGCGAAGGGGAGGAGGAATTGGCGGTGGGAGAAGGATGCGATGCAGTATTATAGTACGAGTAGTAATAATCATTGTTTGAAAGCCGCGGCCAATGCATAACATCTGAGCAGGTTCACGGCTGATTTGCGGCTGTGGAGATGTTCCGTTCCTCCCTCGCGTATTGATATATTAATATTCATATTACACCAATGACGCGCGCTCAATTTGGTGAACCCCGTTTTAAACGGAGAATCGAGCGTTACGTTACGTTAGTACCAGCATAAAAGAAAAAAAGGAAGAAAAGGAAAAAAAAAGAAAAAAAACGGATCATGACATCAAAATGACTAAACCCGATTCTGATAATTCTGATACCACACTCAACTTTCTCATATTGCATCATCGATTGTGCTCCGGAGCTGAGAGAAGAAGAGGGAAACAAAGAGAGAGAGAGAGAGAGAGAGAGAGAGAGAGAGAGAGAAAGAAAAAAAAGAAAGAAAGGGAAAACAATTCAATATCAACGCTGGTTGACATGGGCACATTTCCCTAGCATAAGCATGTCACTGACTGACCATCCAAGGGCATATGGCACGGCTGCCGTGGCCTTTGCCTTCTCAGCCGGCATACTGGTGACACTCGGTTTCAAGGACTTTTACCCGGATCTGGAGCAACGATATCAGCGCAAGCGACGATCAGCAACCAGAACGACCAGCAAGAACGGCAGCGGCAACAAGGACTCGGCGCAGGAACGTCCGTTGCGCCGCTACAGCAGCAGCTGGTGGGGTGGCGCCCCGGTGCAGCTGGAGGACCACGACGACGAGACCGACGAGGCGGCGCAGGCCCGGGCACCACCGCTGTCGGAGGGCATAGACTCGTGCATCGGCAACACGCCGCTCATCAAGATCCACTCCCTCTCGCAGGCGACGGGCCGCAATGTGCTTGCCAAGGCCGAGTTCCTCAACGGGGCGGGAAACAGCCCCAAGGACCGCGTGGCGCTCAACATGATTGACGAGGCCGAGTCGCAGGGTCTGCTCGTGCCCGGCAGGGGGGACACCATCTACGAGGGCACGGTCGGCAGCACCGGTATATCGCTCGCGACGCTGGCGCGGGCCAGGGGCTACCGCGCGCACATCTGCATGCCGGACGACCAGAGCCACGAGAAGTCGGACCTGCTGTTGACGCTGGGGGCGGCGGTGGAGCGGGTGGCGGTCGCACCCATCACCAGCCCGGACCACTTCGTCAACCTGGCGCGGCGGAGGGCCGAGGAGCACGAGCGCGCCCACGCCGACGGCAGCCGCGGCTTCTTCGCCAACCAGTTCGAGTCGGCCGCCAACTGGCGCGCGCACCTGCGCACGACGGGGCCCGAGATCTACGCGCAGACGGGCGGCCGCCTGGACGCCTTCGTCGCCGGCGCCGGCACGGGCGGCACCATATCCGGCGTGGCCCGCTACCTCAAGGACGAGGCCGCGCTGCGCGACCGCCTCCGCGTCGTCCTCGCCGACCCCCAGGGCAGCGGGCTCTACCACAAGGTCAAGCACGGCGTCATGTACTCCCCCACCGAGAGGGAGGGCACCCGCCGCCGCCAGCAGGTCGACTCCATGGTCGAGGGCATCGGCATCAACCGCGTCACGGAGAACTTCGAGGCCGGGAGGGACATGGTCGACGACGCCGTCAAGGTCTCCGACGCCCAGGCCTGCCGCATGGCCCGCTGGCTCGTCGAGAATGACGGCATCTTCGTCGGCAGCAGCTCCTCGGTCAACTGCGTCGCCGCCGTCGTCACAGCCATGTCCCTGCCTCCCGGCAGCACCGTCGTCACCATCCTGTGCGACTCGGGCGCTAGGCATCTGTCCAAGTTCTGGAAGAATATCAAGGACATGGGTCCTCAGGACGCCGGAAAGTCCGAGGATCTGTTTTCCGAGCTTGGCATAACCCGGGCGTGATCCGTCTGTCCTGACTACTAGTAGCCTCGAGGTACTCATCGGGATCCGGATCGGGATCTATATATCATAGAGGAAATATGTAGTATGACAATACTACATCAAGCTTTCCTTCCCCGTGTGCGGGAACGAGCGAACGTGGTGAATGGCTCGAAATATGCCGAACCAGGATGTAGATTATAATGAGCACCGCAAAGGGGAGAGGGAGAAGGGGGGGAGGTTATAGAGGGTTAATTATCCCAGCAAAAAGCAATGATACCATTGCGAAACTGTCAGAAGCTTCTGTAATCATCCAGATCCAGCCGTGGCCATCATCATGCGCAGTACTGTTGATAAGTAAACAACCAGAAAGAAGATGGGGGTTTCTTCCCTTATGGGAAGGGGGAAAAAAAGAAAGAAGAATAGGGATTGTTGTTTAAAAAATAAAAAATAAAAAATAAGAATAAAAAAAGACACAAACTCCATGCCCTCCCCTGGACGCACACCAAATTCAAACAAAAAGTCACGCACTCTCTCTTCACTTCGTGACTACTGCCCGCTTAGAGCATTTTTTCTCTCTCTTCCTTTTAAGTCAGTGGGAAGAAGATGAAACGACGTAAAAAAAAAAAAATTTAAGAAAAAATACATCGCCCATTTAGGAAAACTGGTAGAAAAGCCATGGTCAGCACACTGCAAGAGGGGGGGTTGGAAGGGATGGAAGAGAGAGAGAGAGAGATAGACATACCTTCCAACGCTTTCCGCAATTCATGCACTCGCAAAACGTAGTCATGGGCTCATCGGCGCTGCGCGTCTGCGCCTGTGTATAGCTGACCATCTTCTTCTTACAGCGGCCGCACTCGAGGCTGTCGCTGACGCTCTTCTTGGCCATGGGGACCTGGGCTCTCTTCATGTTCTCCTTCTCGAGCTCAATCTCCTCGCGGCGCCTGTCCTCGCTCTTGAGCTCGTCGTCGGTCATGACGACGAACTTGTCGGGCGAGATGACGCCGGACATGACGTTCTGGCCCAGCTCGCGGTTCGACTTGTTCTTGAGGTTGGCGAAGAGCGACCTCATCTTCTTCTTGTACTCGGCCGTCTCGCCCTTGTACGTCGTGTGGGCGGCCGACTCGACGGCCACGGCGCGCGCTATGATGTCGCCCGACGGCTCCGTGGACCGGTACGCGAGGCCGTTGTAGATGAGCCCGATGCATTGGTTGCGCGTGTTGGACTCGGTCCGCTTGATGTCCACGCCGTCCGAGTCGAACTTGCGCTTCTCCGGGTCCCCCTCAAACTTCTTCTTCGATGCGCCACCACCACCACCACCACCACCACCACCTGAAGGTTCCGACACCGATCCAGATCCCGATGCGGTAGCCGCAGATGTCGATGCTGGTGTCGGTGTGGGCGTAGGAGATGAGCTGGCCTTGCTAGCTGCTGCCGCCCCCTTCATCTTCTTCTCGTGCTCGACCAGCTTCTTCCACTTCATGACTAGCTCCGATGCTGCCCGTGCAATCTCCTTGTTGCTGTTGGATCGTAGCTTGCCGACATAAACACCCGCTCGTGTGGCCTGGCATCAGAAAAGTCAGTATCTTTTTTTTTCTTCCCTTTTTTTTTCTTCCCTTTTTTTTCTTCTATTTCTCCTCCTCCTCCTCCTCCTCCTCCTTCTTCATCTTCTTCTCCTTCTTTTGATTTTCCAACCCGGTTCCATACGCGCAGAGTCGCATCGCATCGCATCGCCATCACCGTCGCTATCGCACAACACATACCCTCAGCATCTCCTCCGTAGGCGAGGCATTCTTCTTGAGAGTGTCTAGGAGGTGGAGCGCAGTCTCCGGGGGCTCGTTGGCCTGTATGCACTTCGTCAGTGCCTTGACGTTTGACTCGAGTTCGCGCTGGTCCATCATGATGGGCAGCCACACGTTCCGTGCTCGTTTTCGTGACGCGCGGATGCGGACGGCAGGGTGGAGATGAATCGATGTGGTGGTGCAGAGGAGAGAGATCCAATCATTCAGTCCGAAATGGGGGGAGGTGAAGCTGCGTATAGTACGAGGACGTCTGGATTGCCTCTGGGGGCAGCTTGCAGTATCAATGCGATGCTCGTTGGGAGAGAGACAGAGAAACACGTGAGTGGCCTGGAGGGAAAGCTCAGCTTGCGGGAGGGGGGATATATATCCGACGTTATGCCGGTGTCGGCCTTGTTGCCGATAGCATCTACGTGTATGTAGTCTGTAGATTCTACCGAGTCTTGCAGCTCTCGTAGTATCCATTCATGGCATCGTTCCACTCGGATGAATTCGCCCATCTACCCATTTTTTCTTTCATGTGTGATATTCCGAGATGGCAGTCCAACGGTTCACATTTCTTTGCTCTCACATGGTACAGACCAGTTACTTGACCGTTCCAACGTGCTTCGCGCGACAGTTACATCATATCAGAATCTACCAACAAGAGGTATTACTGCCAGAAGAAAGAATTCGTAAGTTGCTAGTCCGAACTCGCATCGCTTGTTATTGCCTCGAGGAAAAGCAAGAAACAGGGGAGAATGAATACCAACGCGCGGCAAAGTACACGAAAATAGAAACGCTAAAAATAAAAATAAAACTCCCCATGATCTACTGCTTTGCTCATTTTCTTCCACCAGATAATAATGCATGTACACGCGATGGGACAACAAAGAGGACATCAAAGACCTAAACCCCCAGCGGCCCATGCTGGGAATCCGTCATCCGGTCTCATCTCAGGCGGAGGTTGTTGCTGCTGCTGCTGCTGCTGCTGCTGCTGCTCTCTCTGTTCCTCCTGGCGCTGGGCGTGGGCCTGCTGGATGTGTTGCCTCCACCAGAGGAGGAAGACAAGAGCAGCCATGACACTGACGATGAGAAGGCTCTCCACGAGTCCCCCTTCGTCAAGATCTCCCTCGCTGCCTGGGCCGATTGTGTCGTCGTACAGGTCGTCAAGGTAGGCGTCGTCCTCGTACATGTAGCCGTCGTCCTGGATGAAGTTGGCTATCCACTCCGAGAGGGACCAGTCCTTTTTTGCCTCTGTCGGTGGTATGTCAGAATATTTCTCTTCTTTCTACTCTCTCTCTCTCTCCCTCTCCCTCTCTGGCTGCCAGAGTCGAGAGTAAAACTTACTGGGCTCTTCTTGAATACCGTGGATGTCGCCATGGGTAATCGTGTTCCACGCACTACGCAGCCGGAGCTTCATCAGACTCAGCGTGACGGGGAGGTAGGCCTCCTTGTTGACGACGAGGGCGTGGTCGTAGTATCGCTTGGCCAGGTGGAAATCCTGCGTCAGCCCGACGCCGTTCTCGTGCATCCACCCGAGATTAAAGAGGGCCTGGGCGCTCTGCGAGTGGTCCGACGCCGACAGGTAGCACTGCACCGCCTTGCCGATGTCCTTCTCGGTGCCGATGCCGTAGTAGTAGTAGTCACCCATCTTGACCATCGAGTCGATGTTGGATTGCCTCGACGACCTGGTCCAGTGGATCAGCGCCATGCGCGGGTTGTCCAGCAGGCCGCCCCGCTTGGGCTGCTGGTTGGCCTCGCCGCCCAGCCGGGCCTGGATAAGATCCATGAGGGGCAGGCCTGAGTTCTGCGAGTCGAGCATGTAGGCCACGTTGGTCTGCGCCCTTTCGTACCCTTGCTCGGCCGCCAGGAGGTAGTACAGGAAGGCCGCATCGATGTCGCCGGCCTCGTACGCCGCGTTGGCTTCCGCCCACGTGGAGACGAGCGGCTCCGCCTTCTCGGCCACGTTCTTGTAATAGTTGAGGGCGATGGCGCAGAGGCTCTCGCGCCCGACGGCGTAGTGGACCAGCTCGGCGAGGTAGTAGTGGGCCTCGATGTTGCCGTACCGCGCGGCCAGCTCAAAGTAGTTGTTGGCGATGCGGATATCCTCGGGGCTACCCTGGTCGAGGTGAAGCTTTCCCATCTCTACCTGCGCTGGTGCAAAGTCCTGGTCGGCCGAGACCTTGAGCAAAGCAGTGGCCTTGCGGATATTCTTCTTACCGCCGTAGCCGTTGAGCAGCATCAGGCCGAGGCCGTACTGCGCCTGCGGGTCTCCTTTCGTGACGCCGCGCTCGAACCAGGTCCGGGCCTTGTCATAGTTCTGATTGAGCCCCTCTCCCCTCAGGTACAGGCGGCCAAGATAAGCAGCAGCCTTGCACGCCGTCTTCTCGATTCCCGGTTTATAGTTCTCGACGAGACGGCCGTCCCGCTTCCAGTAGCGCGAAGCCACAGCGAAGAAGTATTTCTTGGCCAAGTCTAGGTTACGCTCCAGTCCTCGCTGGCCTTCGTAGTATATCCTGCCGAGGCTGAAGGCCGCCTTGAAATCGCCCTTCTGGGACATCAGGTCGAGATACTCGATGACGTCGCTGATAGCCGCGTTCGCGTCCGAGTTGAGGTTCGGCTTGAAGGCGTTGATGCCAGCGCTCGAAGCACTGGCACCCTCGCCAAAGACACCGCCGTCGTCGTCGGCAATGCGCCAGCCCTGGTGAACCCAGGACCTGCCTCCGGGAGGCCCAGACTTGAACCATTCGATGGCCTTGTCTGCAACCCGCTTGTAGTGTTCCACAGCCATCTCACAGCTCTTGACGGCGCCGATGCCGGCAAAGTGACGGTAGCCCACGGCCATCTCAGATCGGAGATCTCCGCCGGCTGCGGCAAAGGTATGGTAGAGGAGGGCCTTGGCCTGGTCCTGCGGGACCACGTCGCCCAGTCCTGTCGAGTGATAGACGCCCAACATGTATTGGGCTGTCGTATTTCCGTGGATCGAGGCGAGTCGGTCGTACAGGTCGTAGGCGACCCGGAAGTTGCGGGGGTAGTTGTAGTGGCCGAAGAAGTTGATCTCAGCCAGCGTGTATAGGGCGTCGGAGTTGTTGACGGCGGCGGCCATTTCGAGGAGCTCGACAGCTTCGGCAACGGGGCGGCTCAGGGTCGCCTGCGGTTTTTGCGACGGCGACGTGGCGGGGCCCGTCGGGAGGACCTCGATGATGTACTGGAGGGCCAAGGCGACGAGCCCGGACGGTTTGTGCGATCGTTGGTGCGGCGCCTCGGGGGCGGCTCGTAGGATCTGGGCGGCCTGGTAAAAGTTCCGCTCGGCTACGATCGCTCTTGTCAGTTGGGAATGCCATCTAGCCCGTCGACCAGTCGATGAGCATGGGGAGCCGCCATACCATAATTCTGCTGTGTCCATTCGTCTCGGGGCCCTCCAGCACCAATGCCGGGGTTGGCGTCATGCTCGTCCCGGTGGCCCTGGGTCTTCTTTCCTGCATCATCACCAAAAGTAAAGCTCCAGCCCGCGGCAGCTACAGCCATGGCCTGCAGAAGCACTAGGTGAAGATAGAAGGTTAGCCAGAGTTATGGCGTGAGCGGCCGGAGGGGTGACGACACGTGCGCCGTGAGGAGGGGAGGAGGGACTCACGTAGAAGGCACAGAACTGGCCTGGCCATGCTGGGCAGATGTCAATGTGCAAGACAAAATAGTAGCCTCAGGACATGGCTCGTGGGGGAGAAGGATCCAACAAGCAGAAAGCCAAGTCGGTCGTCGTCGAAGTTGAGGTTGACAACGGGGACTTTGCGTGGGGGGCGCGGGCAGTTATGTTGTTTGGTACGGTAAGCTGGAAGACCCGGACCTACAAGCTGGCCACTTCCGCAGTCGGCTGAGGCGGCCTGCTAATACAGTATCACTGTGGACATTTTCAGTGCACTCCAGGTCACTAATACAAGCTACGCTATAAGTGCGTCCTGTCGGAGTCCCATCCAGATGGGGTCCGAAAATGGGTGCCCCAGGCAGCACATCAGTTCTCTGCGCCTGAGAGCAGCCTCTCGTGTATTATCAATACCTGTCAGCTCACAGCTTGGGGATCTCCTTCAACATACGAGGCAGAGGACAAATGTGAATGGGCACTATAGTTTGTGGGTTAACTTCGTGGCTTCATTACTTGCCGCCTTGTCGCTGGTAACTTGGAAGCTGTAATCTGTACAGAACAGCACTTACCCACAGAAGTAGTTCACATTAGTCATCTGTCATGCGCTTCTTGATGAGCTCCATCGGACGCATCGGACGAGTAGTCGGCCACTTCCAGCAACGGTCTTTCGTTATCATGTCGCATGCCAACTTGGAGCATCATATGCACATGCAGACTTCTTCCTCTCTCTCAACTGGGAAGACGGTGAATGAACTGCATGGCCATTTTGAAAGCACATATTGCGCTGACGGTACCCACCAAGGCGGCGCCATGCAGGTATGACTGTCGGCAACCTGAGGCACTATGCCTGTGGCGGTCTACGACCTAATACCCCGTGGCTGGTGTCTAAGCCACAGCCCTCAGGGCGGCGCGTTAATGGGAGTCGCGTCAAGGGTCGCGTCTACCGTTCCTCATCCTACTGGTAATAACTAACACAACCACCGCCGTCACCGCCTAGGCAAACAAACTTCCACATCTCGCCGTCGTCCTTCCTAGCACCTGTACTTCCAAACACACAGCCAGCGGGTCTTCCTCATACTTTCACAATCTTCCGGAGAACTAGCAGTAAAACAAGGCTGCGTCTGCCTGTCTTCTGGTCCCGGTTCCACCTCTCTCCCGCAACAAGATCCTTCACAATGTCGTCGTCAACACTCAAGCGCAAGGCCGACGCGGCGGCTGACAAGAACGACACAAAGAAGACCAGGTCCAATGCCAGCATCACCTCCTTCTTCAGCGCCCCCAAGCCTGGCCCCTCCGCTTCATCGACCCTCGGTTTGGCACCGGAGCTGCCAGTCTCCAAATTTGACAAGGCAAAGTGGGTGTCTGGACTGACGGCCGAGCAAAAGGAGCTGCTGCAGCTGGAGATTGATACCCTGGATGAGAGCTGGCTGGCCCATCTGAAGGATGACATTACGACCAAGGAGTTTCTCGATCTCAAGAGGTTTCTGCGTCAGGAGACGGCATCCAAGAGGAAGTGGTTCCCACCAGCTAAAGACGTGTATTCCTGGTCAGTTTCTTTTCCTTCTCTGAACCGCCGTTCGAGAGCCTAGGAAACAATATCGGTCTGTCTGACAATCCGTTCGCAGGTCCCGCCACACTCCCTTCCACAGTGTCAAGGTGGTCATCGTCGGCCAGGACCCCTACCACAACGACAACCAGGCCCATGGCATGGCCTTCTCCGTCCGGCCCCCAACGCCGGCGCCCCCTTCCCTGCGAAACATGTACAAGGCACTAAAGAAGGACTACCCGAGCTTTGTCGAGCCTGCTGATCGCGGGGGCCTGCTGACCCCCTGGGCCGACCGCGGTGTCCTCATGCTCAACACGTGCCTGACGGTCCGGGCCCACGCGGCCTTCTCGCATGCCAACCGCGGCTGGGAGCGGTTCACGCAAAGGGTCATCGACCTCGTGGCCAAGAAGCGCACCCGCGGCGTTGTCTTCATGGCCTGGGGCACGCCCGCGGGGAAGCGCGTCCAGAAGGTTGACACGCAGCGCAATCTTGTGCTCAACAGCGTGCATCCCAGCCCGCTCAGCGCCTCGAGGGGATTTTTCGACTGCAGGCACTTTCGGTCCGCGAATGAGTGGCTGATTTCCCGCTACGGCCCCGAGGGCGAGATTGACTGGGCCCTCAAGCCCGGTAACACGACCAAGGCTGCCCCTCCTGCTGCTGTTCCGGCCCCCGCCGCTTCTGCTACCCCCGCCCCCGCCACCACGAGTACAACTGCTGCTGGTAATAGTACTAGTACTACTAATGCTCCTACAACTGCTGCTGCTGCTGCGGCGGCGGCGGCGGCGGCGGGCCCTGCCCCGGTCGTTGCTGCCCCTGCTCCTGCTCCTGCTCCTCCTTCTTCCCCCACTGCCGGCACTCCCAAAAAGGTCGAAGAGAAGAGGGAAGCCGGAGGAGACAAAAGGGAGAGCGAGGTCAAGGACGAGGGGAACAAGGAGAATGACCCAGCTGTCGAAGACGAGTATGAGAGTGGTGGCGATGATGCCTTTGAGGAGGCCCTGAGGTTGGCCGAGGAAGCTGCCGAAAAGAGGGCGGCGCCCTAGATGATATGGTCGTATGTTTCTCACGTTCCTATTTTCGGCATGTATAAATGTGGTCTGGCGTTTGTATATGTTTATTTGGCAGCAGAAATTTCTGGTTTTTTTTTCCCGGTGATTATTGAGGCAACAACAAAGGATGTTTTCAAGATGAAGGTTGTATTACTGGAAGGAAGTTTGCGTGTACGAAAGTCGAGGGATGCGACCCCGGAATCTTCCAGCCAATCTTGGAAGCCAATTGAAATTTGACAGACATCTACGAGGATTACTGCGGCGTAGTATCATCGGCAGGGGAATCTCCGTATGCTTTGCAGGGTCTTTGTCGCTCAGTCTTGAATACTCCGGTCCGTATGAAGTATACACAAGGGGCGGTTGTGGAGATGAGAGACCTTCAAGCCTCAAGGCCCGCTGGCTTCCTGGAGTCGTCGAAACAGAGGGCGGGGCGAAGAGAGTAATAATACTAGATGGCGGGCAATTTTAGAAGAGAGATTTGGCCATGGTGCGATTGTAGGTAGCAATACTACCTTAGGCGCGATAAAGTAATAAGCTGTATCTGTACTCCGTACTCCGTACGAGTATTATCTGTTCTATAGGGATGAGCCATGGCCTGACAGGTCAAAAGGAGGAGGAGGATGTTGATCTTCGGTGATATATGAGTATGTAATCTTGTACTCATACATGCATATAATATAGCATTTCCTAGTATTGGCACTAGCTACAGATTAGTAGTTCACTGGGAAGAGATGAGGTTGAGAAGAAAAGAGAAGGCCATCGGCGATAAATAGTCCAAAACCAGGTTTAAGGCAGGTGCGACCACACGAGATTTGCACACAAAAGGCAGGAGGCAGCCTTGAGATTGTGGCCTTGTGAGGCATCAACAATGACGAGCCACAAGGCTACCATCAACTCCATTTCTTTCCCCTTCTTTCTCTCTCTGGCTCTTTGTCACTTTTACTTCTCGTGCTCCGCCATGATTACGTCGTACATCGGACTGTTTTTTTGCACGCGTACAAGTACGACGTAACACCACGAGGAGCACCACGACTGCATACATGTACGGGTGAGTGCTACGATTGCTACAAGTATGGACAGTCTTGCCAGCACTACGGGTTTAGTACCAACAGAATAAGCGCGTCACGTCAGTCGCGTCCAAGGGAAACCCCAGAGCCAGTCATATGCTGCAACGTTGGTCAATGGACGGAGAGCAGGGGTCTCGTCCCCGTGTAATCTGTAGAGCCAATCAGTCCAATATCCGTCCGTGTCCATCATATTCGTCCTTGATTCGTCGGCGTCTGGTCAGAGCCAAAGAGAGACCCCAAAGCCTGGAGGGCTGGCTGTTGACTCGTGTGTGTGAGAGGGAGTGAGGTTGACTATGACAGAGTGAGTGAGGGCGACGATGATCGAATCTACTCATCTACTCATTCTTGTATAGTCTGTGCCACTCGCACGTCAAACATGGTGGTATTATTGCTATCTGATCTGAAAATGCACTGCCTTCTGCCCTTGGCCTCTCTCTCCGCGGTGGTCCTTGGCGCGTGGGACGTGCCTGGGTCGGAGATTGGGGACGAGTAGGCTGCAGCACAAGTTTTATTAACTCTTGATTTTAATAGTAGACGCGAAGAGATGGTCCAATCCCACTCGAAGCCCCTTGTCAATTTGACGCCTCGTTTACGGACTCTTCTACTACGAGTGAGTACATGTACTCGTAGAGTACGAGTGAGAGTAATGATACTCCGTTCAGGTCCTCCGTAATACAATGTGTGATCCCCCTCCCCCCCCCTGAGTCCATTGATTGCTGAGAGAAAGAGGGCCGATGCCACTTCCCCCCCCCCAAGCAGACGCCCCTCTCCCGAGTGCGACGGCGAAACCTCACATTTTTGTTTCTGCTTCCCAGCTGCAAATTACTTGCTTTTTTTCTTCTTCTTTTTTCCTGCCTTCCTCCTCGCCGTTTCGATTCATTTGCTCATGTATTCTTTTGTTTCTTTTGCCTTCTCTCCCTGCCTTTGTCACTCATTGATTCATCCCGATTTCTCCTTTCTATCACAGCTACTCCGTACTACGGGTACTCTTCTCACCCTCCTTTATACCCTGCCAACCTGATTGCTTCCCACCTTCATATGGACTCACCCCCCTGCCCCTCCATGCATTCCCACTTCCTGCGCATAACAATTTTCTCTCCGTCTTGAAAACTGGATACCCGGTTTTTGAGCAGACGCCGTAACGAGTAGACGTACAGCATACGAGTTCAACCAGTAGGTGAGTTTCCTCCAACTTGCGCCTCGTCACATGTGCGGCGACGGACGGCAGAACGGCTGCAACACACATACACACACATCCGATACACACATGCACCGCACGCACGCACGCCACACACTACTTGTACTTGGGATCACAACCGCGTCACCAAAGAGGCTAACCCCTGACACCTTACGAACTTCTGGCAGGCTGATCCATATCAAGCATCTCCACGACCGTACGTGCCGGACCGCACGAAAAGACACGACCGAGCCGATTGATTCTCGTCCTGTCTCCACGCCCGCATATATATCATCGTCTTACAAAACTCCGGGGGTGAACAGGCACACCGCATCATGGCAGGTCTCTTCTCCCGCCTCAAAAGCGGCAAGGAGGGCACAAAGTCCAAGAAGAAGAATGCTACCAGCCAGCAGCCCGCGTCGACGCCCGCCAAGCCGCAATGGGACGATGCATGGACGCGCAGCAGCGTGGAGCCCGAGGAGATTCACGAACTGATCCGTTTCTGCACCGAGGAGCTCAAATCTCGAGGTATGAACTGCCCCTCCCCCGCTGGACATGCCCATAGTGGTAGCAGTATATACGAGGAGGCAACTCTCAAGCAGCGGCCCGACAGCTAACCATCTACCCGGACCTGGCTCTTCAGCACTCGATCTTCCTTTCCTCCTGCTGCCCTTCCGACCGACCTCCGATCCGAGCGCTGTGCGCAACTTTATCCGCCACTTCTTTGGCCAGAAGCAGGCTGTGCGGGGCGAGATTCTGGCCCAGGAGATTCGCATGACCAGTCCCATGGTCCTCTCTGGCGTCGTGAAATGGTGCTGGGGCCGCCTTCAGGGCGGTGTTGTCGGATGGGACGCCTATGAGCTATTCAAGGTCGGAGAATACGGTATGTCTCGAGCTATCCTTCATCCTTTGCCCACCCACTCGACCGTTGGGCTGCTTCTGTGGGGATCCCGCCCTAACCTTAGAGCTTCTCCTCAACAGACTCCAACATGGCCCGAGACTCCTTCAAGACTTTCATCCCCATTAGCGTCGAGAACGGTGCCCGCCAGCGCATTATCTTTGACTTCTTCGACCTGCTGGCCGCTGTTGCCGCCCACGGAAAGTCCAACGGTCTCGGTGGTCGCAAGCTCTCGCGCATGGCTGCCTGGTGGGCCTTTGAGCAGAGGGACACCGGCAACGGCTTCGAGGGCGGCTACAATGCCTGGCTCAATGCCGCCGATGCTACCAGCCACCTCTTCTTTGCCTACTTGAGGTCCGTGGCCCCCGAGCAGAACCTCACCGGTATCTCCATGCTCCCCATGTCGCTCCAGAAGCTCCTGCAGGAGACCGAATACCCGCCCCAAAAGCCCGATCTCATGATGTCGCGGACCAACAAGGTCGTCATGATTGTCGAGACAGTCTCGCCGACGCCGTTTGCCCTGCTCCGGAGAGCCAATCACTTCCAATACCGCGACTCCGACAAGGCCCTGCAGGAGTTTGCCGCCTACGAGGACCCGGTCCAGTCGTTGTCCGAAGAGTGCAAGCGAGTTCTCAAGGCCGTCTCGGCCGCGAACCAGTCGCAGGTGTCGAGCATAAAGCACTCGACCAGCTTGCGCGACGCCTCGTGGTCCCGCTTCGAGGACATCGGCTTCTCCAGCACTCTCGATGACGACGATGCGGACGGCAACAACGGTGCTCTAAGCGCCGCCAGGAAGCAGCAGCAGCCAGGAGGGCTCCGGACGAGTCCCTCCTCCGGAAACGGCCTCGGCCGCCCGACCACCCCCTCCTGGGCCGATTTCCTGTCCTCCGGCTTCGTCGATGACAACAACCAGGCGAGATCCAACCTTCTCCTCCCCCCCGACAAGTTCCTGCCGCCCATCCAGGTGCCTGACAGGCAGCGCAGCTCGCAGTCGCACAACCCACGTCTCGAGACAAACCAGGAGCTAGACCCGGGAGAGCTAGCCAGCATCACCTTCCTCGATCTGGACGACGCCTTCTGGTGGGTGTGGATGAGCAGCCTGGCGCCTGAGGAGACGCAGGACCGCAAGGCAGCATTCGGACGCTGCGCCGTCGTCGAGACTAATATCCGGGGCGGCCGGTGGCTTGTCCTCGAGGAGATGGTTGCAGGCGCAGCACCCGAGCCGCAGGAGGGCGCTTATATTGCCGAGAAGAAGGGTTTCTTCAACTGGACACGCCGCGGCAAGACGCTCAAGCGCCGCAAGTCGACGGGCAAGCAGCTCAACGAGCGGGCCGCGGCTGACAAGTCGACGACCAGCTTCGCCACGAGCGCCAGCAGGACCAACATCGGCCCAGACACGCACGCCAAGATCCAGGCCAAGGCCGCCCAGCTGCGTGCCGCCAGCGAACAGGAGAAGAGGCAGGAGGAGGCCCTCGCCGAGGCCCAGCGCCGCGGGCGCGAGGGTGACACGACCGACAAGACGATGAGCGTCCTCACCATGCAGACAAACATTGTCCCCGACGCGTCGCCGGCCATGAGATGGGTCAGCAAGTACGACAGGGGTTCTATCAAGGACGCCTACCTGGCCAACAGCAATGCCGGCCGTGGCATGGCCCTGTCCCCCGTTCCCACCGAGGACAGGCCGGCTCCCTCGACCAACGGTCCTCCCACGATCAAGGAGGACGAGCCCAAGACGGCGCCCGCCGTGCCCGCCAAGTCGCCGGAGCCTAAGCCTGAGACGGAGACGGAGGAGGAACCTGTTCCCGGGAGCGAGGCTGCTCCTCCACCCGGAGACGAGAGCCCTGCTCCCGCCCCTGCCCCGGCCGACGATACCGCCGACTCCATTGCCCCCGCCCCGACGCCGTCGAGTATCGCCCACGATGACGAGGAAAAGCCGAACAAGAAGATGCCCAAGTCCAAGTCCGGCGGCTTCCGCAAGCTCTTCTCGCGCAAGAACCGCAGCTCCAAGGTTCCCGACAACGCGGCCGCAGACATCAACGCCATGCTCCGCAAGGACTCCCAGAGCACTGAGACCTCTGCGGCCGCCACGCCCGATGCCGCCACTCCCACGCGGGAGGTGGCCACTCCGGCCAACGACAGCGACCGAGACAACGGCACAACCGGTCCCGACACGCCCAAGGCCGCGGTTTCCGGTCCCACGCCGCCCGCCGAGGACACGGCCTCGGTGAGCGACCTCTCTGCCGTAGACGCCAGGGACGCGGCCGAGGCGAAGCGCGAATTCGCCCGCTTCGACCAGGGTCCCCTCGACGACCAACCAGCCTTTTCCCCCCGCGACAACGATGACGATGACGATGACGACGGCGACGCCACCCCTCCGCCCATCGCGCGCCGTCCGGTCCAGCGCGGCACCCCCTCGCTCACCAGCTCGCATGAGATCCCGCGCGAGGAGCGCCTCAGCCACACCGCTGGTCCGGGGGTTCAGGATCGATGGGCACAGATCCGCAAGAACGCCGCTAATCGGTCGGCCACGTACCAGCGTCCCGAGGACGAGCAGGTCCCGGCTAGGAGCTTCCACAGCCGTTCACACCAGGGTGGTGGGGAGGATGACGATACCAGTGGTGAAGAGAGTGAGTTTTTTCTTCTTCCTTTCTCCTTCCATCTTACATATGGATCTACCGTGAAATTATAAATGCTAACATGGCAGCAGCAATCGAGTCCCGCGTCGCCCGTATCAAGGCTCGCGTGGCCGAACTGACAGGCTCGATGGAGGGTGTCAACGGTCCTCAATCCACTACGCCCAGCGCCCACAGTTCCCAGGGGATCTCTCCTTCCCGGGCGTAATCTTGTCCTTATTCTCCTGACATCTTTCTTCTTCTGACACGTTCTCTCCTCCCTTCCGATCTCACGCCTTTACAATGCGGTATACAGATACCATGCCTTTTTATCTTTCTTCTCTTGAATTCTCGCCTATTTTTCCTTCTTTTCTGAGCCTAACGGACCATGAGATTTTTTTTACTTTTTTTCTCTCCTTCTCTTGATAAACGCATTTACTTTTTTTTTCCCCTTTCTTCTTCTCTATAAATGTGTTTTATCTGTTTTCCTTTTTTTTTCAATGGTTTGGCTGTCTTTTCTTTTGTATCTAATACCAATTCGCTTTTTTTTTAACTCTGCTTTTCTTGAATTTGAACTATCAGGATTTGTTATTTTCCAGCTTTTCTCCTACCAATTGAGAGTTCTTGATGTTGTTCCCTCCGCTTGACGTGGAGAATAAATCATAATGGTCACGGGCTATTAAATTTTTCAAAGTTCATTTTTTTCTTTCTTTTTTTCTTTGAAAAAAATTGAATATTCTTTAGCAATATGAATACTAGTTACTTCCCGTGATGCTAAGGACTATAATCCCTGTCAATCATCATTATCGGGCCACCGTCATCATCCTCATCTGGCGTCCTCGGACGAGCAGGCTCACTGATGGTCCTTGTACTCGTATCCACGCGGCGGGGGGGGACCGGTCTTCTAGAGGGGACGGCGGCAGGTGTGGACAAGGACTCATACGGGGGTGGTGGTCTGTCTGGCACTTGGCCGTCCGTTGCCGCCATCTCTGCTGTCGGGCGGCGAGGTAGGGGAGGGTTTGCCGGTGCTGTTGGTGCCGCGGCCGCGGTAGGCCTCCTGGGTAGCCGGGGACTGGGCGCAGAGCCCATCACTTCCGCTGTTGGGCGGCGAGGAAGTGGTGGTTTCACCTCGGCAGCAGGAGGGGTGGCAGCAGCAGCAGCAGCTGCTGCTGCTGCAGGTCTCGGTGGTAGCTGAGGACCCGTTTCTTGATCTGACGGTGCGTTGTTGGGATCTGACTCCCCGTCTGCCAGTCCGGGGATCAGATCGGTGTGGGGTAGTTCCTTGGCATCCTGGTCGTACATCTTGTCGTCGATATCCTCGTCGTGGATCTTGCCGTGTGCATAGTCGTCCTTGAGGACCATGACGTCGTCCATGGGGATCTCGTCGCCGGCGTCGATGCCCGCAAAGGCGCACTTGCGGAGGATCTCGCCCGTGAGCTCGGGGTAGCGCATGTGTCCGCTCACGCAGGCGCTCAGGTCGAGGTTCTCGACGCCGTCGACGCCGCGGATGGGCTGGAGTCCCGCAACGCCCATGGACATGCTGTAGGCGCGGTAGACGAGGCCGAGGATCATGTCGTTCTCCGAGTAGACGTTGAAGACCTTGCCCGATACGACGGTGCGCAGGGTGCGCCAGTGCGCCGGGCTGGAGGGTGCGGGCGCGCCGATGATGACGACGGTGTCGACCAGCCCGAAGGCGCGGCGCTTGGCGAGCGACTGGAGGCAGGCGTGGATGGTGGCAGCCCCCAGGGAGTAGCCCACCAGCGTGACGGGACGCTCGCCCTGGACTCGGTTGATGAGGGCGTCGGCCAGCAGGTGGCCTGCCTTGCGGGAGCGGTTGAGGCCCCGGCTGAACGGGTTGTCGACGCGGGAGGCGGCCGTGAGGACCGAGATGGGCCACAGGGCTGCCATGAGCGTCGCAAACACCGTGTGCCGGATGACCTGGTACCGGAGAGCGTTCCACGCTGCGGACTTGATGAGGTCGCTAAAGGCCGTCCCCACCGTCAGCAGCGTCTTGACCTCGTACCGCAGGGCAAACACCTCCGTCTCGGTGCTGAAGACGCGCCACGGCTTCGTGATGTCCTCCTCCGTTCCGAGCCAGCCGTTGATGCCGATGGTGATGCGCAGTCGCCGGTTCAGCTGGTCGCCCTTCCCGTGTCCGACATCCTTGCCTGTGAGGCTGTCCTGGAGCGGTATGAACTTGAAGTCTTCGACTTCTTTGGCGTAGCTGTCCATCATCTCACCCTAGCCAGGGCGTCAGTCCAAGTCACGCATGCTGCTAAATGGTACATGTACGGTGAAATAGAGGGAGCAGCCCCGGATGGGGGCGGAGAGGGGACCCAACGTACTGTCATCTTTGCGCCGAACGCACCAAACAGTGTGCCGACCAGCGCGCCATTCATCCAGAAGATCCCCAGGAAGCTGGCCACACCGCCGAGCCCGATACCGCCGAGCACGCCACCCAGGGCACCCGCAACGAGAGGGGCAGCAAGGCCTCCGGTAACACCGATGACGGTGGCGCCGACGACAGAGGCCAAGCCGACCTTGAGGAAACGACCAACCTTGTTAGCCTCGCGGCGCTTGGCGGCCTCTGCCTCGGCCGACATGGACGCCTGCCTCTGGTCTTCTCCGGCCTTGGACGACTCGATCAGGGTCTGGGCAATCTCCATCTCCTCGTGGATGAGGAAGGACTGGGAGAGCTCGAGGGAGGCAGACAGGTAGAGGGCCAGGGTGCGCGAGTGGGCCGAGTATTTTCCCGTAGACAGCAGCAGCAGCAGGATACAGCTGACGGCCTCTTGGCGGTCCCTCAGCGGCACGGTGGTGAGCCTCGTGGGCACGGGAGCGTACAGCATCTGCAGGGCGAAGAAGTCCTCGGACCTGTCGAGCTGGACGTCTCCGTCGCCGTCGGGGACCTGGTAGGGCTGCTTGCTGCTGCCGCCGCCCTGGGCAGCCTGTCGTTCCTCCGTCCGTGCCATGGCATCTGCACGCTTCTTACGCTCCGCCCTGATCTTGTCGTCGTCGTCGACCATGACGATCTCCCGAAGCTTGGGCATGAACTCCTTCTTCCAGTCCTCGAGGTGCTTGACAGCGGCATTCTGAATCCGCAGGGCGTCCTGGGCAGGTTTGGGCACCAGACCCTTGAGCTTGGAGCCTACGTCGAACTTTGCCCCTCCCCCCCAACCTTCCTGGGCGGGGGATCTAGGGTCGGTCTCGGTTCGCTTCGGCTTCTCGTCCTGGATAGGCTGGGTGGACGAGCGAGAGGGAGGCTGGAACTCGTTTCCCGGAAGGGGCGGCGTATCGCAGGGCGTGGTGGCGCCACTGTTCCCGCGGGACGAAGGCGTGGACTCGCCTGTCGAGACGGGACCTAGTTCGTCGGGTGCGACCTGCAGCTCCTCGAGCATGTGGTTGGTGATGTCGTCGACGAGCTCGAGTAGGGCACGACGGCGGGCGGGAATGAAATTTACCACGATCTGGCGCGGGTCTGAGCATAGGGGCGCCATGATGGGCAGTCTATGAGACGCATCGGAGGGGGGGGGGGGGGGTGCAGATGGAATAACGCAAAAAAATGATCGACGTACTAGAGAAGAGGGACGTCAGGACGAAGGGGGTCTTTAGAATGACCATACGGAATTACCGGCAGCCAGCTAACAGAGCCGCCGTTAAACCCTCCCACTGTACGGAATATTATTACATCATGGTAAGTCTACCAGTCTGCAACGCGGTAGCGATATTAATAATACAGTAGTACGGAGTACAGTACAGACCATTACCAGGTGAGACTCTTTCCCGTCATACATGATACGGTACAGCACTATCATAATACTATAATTACTGTCACATGGGCCGATGGGCCAAGAGAATATCTGAATGCGTCCCTGTTGATCAGGTGGGTGCCCTAGGGTGCGCGCTCCGAAGGGCTTAACCACACTACAATCGTACGGGGGGTTATCATACAAGAGTTTCGACAATGTTGTCGATATCCAGGAATTGGCATCTACTCTTATATAGAAACCGATGTGGCACATACATCTCATCATCATCGTGGTTCTGCTAGTTATTGCTGCTGGGGATACAAGTATCAATCTGTACCGAGAATCGTTACTCTTATTGGTGCGGTACAGTAGTAGCCTAAACGCCCGGGAGAGGGGGGGAGGGGGGGCATTAACGCGGTAGTGTTTTAGGGGCTCGACTGCTGCAAGTAGCCAGTAGGTGGGTTGCGCCACGATAAGCCCAGCGATAAGCCCCAACTCCACCGCCGGCAGGAAAAAAGAAGAAAAAAAGTTGCCTATTGTTAGGTCCTCCATTCTGCATCTCCCCCCCCCCCCACAAACTGAGAAACTCATTCCACGACAGACAGCAAGTGATGCGCAGCGGTTGATTGATACGCAGACCCAGTTCTTCCGTCCCTTCGCGCACATTCATGCACAGATGGACGCTCACGCCCTCCTGACAGCCCAAGGCTGGCGCGGCCACGGCCACTCCCTCCACCACAAGGACGACAAGATCGGCCTGGCGAAACCTCTCCTCATCTCGCGCAAGAACAACACAAAAGGCCTTGGTGTGTCGCAACACTTCAACCCGGATCAGTGGTGGCTCAACGCCTTTGACGAGCAGCTCAAGGGTCTCGAGACCAGCGACGAGGGCGGTGTGAAGCAGACCATCACCAAGGGAAAGCTCAACACCGTCGCACCGGGTTCGCTGGGCAGGTACTCGGTATACACCTCCTTCGTCAGCGGGGGTTTTCTTGAGGGAACGGTCGACCTCCTGAAGAAGCAGAAGGAGCAGGAACGGCGGAAACAGATCATCTCCAACTCTTCGTCGCCGTCATCATCCTCCTCGGCAACGTCTGACGACGACGACGACGACGACACGAATTCGAAGAAACCGAAGACGTCAGACGGCAAGGAGAAGGAGAAGGGCGTGAAAATAAAAGAATCCAAGGCGGAACGTCGGGCGAGAAGAGAGGCCAAGAGGGAACGCAAACAGGCCAGGGCCGTGAGGAGAGCCGCTCGGCAAGAACGCAGGCAAGCAAGAGCTGAGAGAAAGGCCAGGAAGATCGCCAAGAAGACCGCCAAGAGTGCCGTTGACGAGGAGAAGCGCCTGCGACGGGCTAAGAAGGAGGGAAAGAGGCGCAAGAGGGAGCTCGAGGGGGAGAGGGAGCTCAAGGGGGAGCGCGAGGACGAGCAATGATTCGACGGGGAGAGGGGAGCAACCGAATAGTCGTGTGGCGGATTTGATTTTGGAAAAGCATTCAAACGGAGTCTTGGAGGTAAACATAAGAGAGAGAGCAATGAGCGCTGTATTTGATACCCGGATAGTATATAGGAGAGAGGGAATGCTCCCACTGGTATACTACTCACCGACGTCCGTGTTCTTTCTACGTCTCCTTGGGAACCTTGCCGGGCTTGTTGGACAGTATCCACGGCCTCCTGTCCCAGAAATCATCCTTGATGATGTCCAGGTGATCCACCAGGATCCTCGCCTTGGCTCTACGCTTCCTGTCGTTCTCCGTCTGCGTCTTTGATTGCCGGACGGGCTCTGCCAGTGAGTCGACTTCCTGGGCGACGTGGTGCTCGGCGGGGTTGACGAGCTCGTACTGGAACGACGGTCAGGTGGATGCACCGACAGGAAGCAGTGTCTCGTACGCGGAAGAGAGGAAGAAGAAAACTTACATCCCGGAATATGACGCTGCCCTTTTTATACATTTCCGGCTCGCGGTTGTAGTTGATGCCGAACCTGGAGAACATGATCTCATTCTTATCGGCTGCCAGCGTACCCTGTGTCCCGCCCAGTCAGTCAGCCTTGAGAATGGTCGTGGTCAGGAAGAGACGGATGCCTACCGCCAGCGTCTTTTCGGCTTCCTTGTTGCCGATGCCACCCAGTTGAATGAGGGACCAGAACGCCGTATTGTAGAGGTTGTTGATGTGACCTACGTCGGTGGGGTAAGTACGTGATGGCGAGGACCAGGGGGGGGGCACGGTGAGCAGCACATACAGTCGGCTTGTCTCCAACTCAAGTAGTCCCTGAGGTTCTGAACGGTGGGGTAGCACACGGCTCGGCCGTCAAAGGTCGGGAGAGGTGATGTCAGAGGGGTATCGGGGAAGTGAGTCGGCCACGAGTGGACGTAGTTGGCTGTGAATGTTGAGACGACGGTGGTGATGAGTTTGCTGCGAAGCGGGGGGGCATGTTAGATGGGAAGAAGACGATCAAGCCGAACGGGACAGTACAGACCTGGCTCTCCTCTCAAACAAGTCTGTAGACTTGTGAAATATGAAGCTTCTCTACCGTCAGCCGTGACATGCTACGTCATTACGGGCCTGATTCCTCTCACCTGTATTCGTCGCTCACGCCGTATGCGAGCGTGATATCGGGTAGGTCAGCGACGACAGCCTTGGCAGCCGTGTTCATGAGGTCGAGGGCTCGGCGGTCGTTGGGTTTCTCAAAGTTGTACTTGGCACACATTCTTTTGCGTCTTGTCAGGACTGTGAATCTTGGCGGGGTGGGTTCTCCTTGTTACGACATCTCTCACTTTGTAAAGGCCCGTCCATCTACACGGACGATGACCCATGTGTTGGGCAAGAGAAAGTCTGGCTGCTCGAAAGCCCGGACATATTCGAACCTTGAGGGAGTTGCGTGTCAGCAACGCACCGTGAATGCATACGCAACCGAGACGTGCAGCCACCCACCTTGAGTTGGCCATTAGGAGTATCCTGCATAGATCAACTCCGCAAAAGAGAAGTCAAGAGAATGTGTAGAATGCCAGTTAGTGCAGCGCATGTGGGATGTGGAGCGGGGAATAACCTAAACGCACTCCAGGCTTGCGTAGGGTAAGCTAGAGGCCATCAGGGGTCCGGGCCTATCGCGCCAGCTGGGTATGGGGGGCGCTATAATAGCCTACAGCAACACGCTGTAAACCGACCCCTCTCCACTGGGCCCTTGTGCTCCCCCGCCGTGCCCGTAATCCTTTTTTTCCTCTCAGCCTTGCAAGACGGAAGAGGTGGGAGAGACGCGGCTGCAGACCCGACGACGCGACGTAGTCTCTGCATCTCTCCCCCGTACCGCCATGCTGATACCATCGGCCGTCGACAATCGCCATACAAGGAATCACGGGAGGCATTCTTGTCCTCCTCGGCTACGCTACTCACCATGAACCTCCTTCTTTCCGACGAATACCTGTTGCAGGACTACCCTGACTGCATCACCAACACGATCCGCTCCGGCCACACCACCATGATGCGCTTCGACCGCAAGGGCGACTACTTGGCCTCTGGCCGCGGCGACGGCACCGTCGTCATCTGGGACCTAGATACGATGGGGGTGGCCAGGAAGCTGAGGGGCCACAATAAGAACATAACTTTCCTCAGCTGGTCCTGCTGCGGGAGGTATCTGCTGTCCACCTGCCAGGGCTGGAAGGCCATCCTGTGGGATCTGCAGGACGGGAAGCGCCTGCGCGAGGTGCGCTTCCGCGCACCGGCCTACATGGGGGAGCTGCACCCGTGGAACCAGTACGCTGTCTTTTCACTCCCCCCTGCTAGCTCTGTCCCTGCTGGGATCTGTCTACATGGTGCTGACGCGATGGTCTAGCTTCGTGTTCGTCGCATCACTCTTCGAGGAACAGCCTGTCATAGTCGACATGTCGGAACCCGTCGACGTCAAACACGTCCTACCGTCGGCGCCGAAACGACCGAACACGGACGGAGACGCCGCCCTCAACCAGAAGCAAGCCAAGGAGGACGCCCGGCAGATGACGACGTCGGCCATCTGGACGGCGACGGGCGAGCACATTCTCTCGGGCACCAGCAAGGGGTGGTTAAACATCATCGACACCGACACGCGCCAGGTGATATACTCGGAGAAGATATGCGGAGCCGCCATCACGACGATGCGGCTGACCGGGTCCGGTAGGGAGCTCCTGGTCAACTCGCAGGATCGCATCATCCGCACGTTTCGACTGCCCAACCTGTCGGTCGAGGACCTAGACCTCGACACGCTACAGGTGCCGCTGGAGCACAAGTTCCAGGACGTGGTCAACAGACTGTCGTGGAACCACGTCACGTTCAGCGCCACGGGCGAGTACGTGGCGGCGTCTACGTACAACAATCACGAGCTCTACGTTTGGGAGCGCGGGCACGGCAGCTTGGTGTGCATGCTCAAGGACCCCAAGGAGGAGCAGGGTGTCATCGAGTGGCACCCCACGCGGACGCTGCTGGCGGCGTGCGGCCTCGAGACGGGAAGGATCTACATATGGTCCGTCGTGAGCCCGCAGAAGTGGTCAGCGCTGGCGCCCGACTTTGCAGAGGTCGAGGAAAACGTCGAGTACATTGAGCGCGAGGACGAGTTTGACATCTACGCCCAGGAGGAGATCCACCGTCGCAGGCTGGACGCCGAGGATGAGGACATCGACGTCCTCACGACCGATGCTGCTTCCAAGGCACCCGGGGAAGACGGCGGCAGCTTCAGGATGCCCATCCTGTTCAACCTCGGCGAGAGCGACAGCGAGGAGGAGCTCATTGCCGTGTCGACAGGTACCATGCGGCGTAGGAGTCCGGGGGATGGCCAAGGCGATGTCGATGACGGAGCTAGCGAGAGGGCACCTGCGAAGAAGGGAGCTTCAGGCAAGGGACGGCCCAGGAAGAAGCAGTGATGATAATGTGTGTGCCGACAAAAAAAGGCTTGTATCAGTTGGCTAGGGATCATGGCGAATAAAGAAGGAGGAGGGAGAGAAAAGGGAAGAAGCAACTAAAAAAGTACAAATAGCTTGAACCAATGTATCTGTACCCGTACTCGGTCCAAAACAATGTGGCGTGTGGCGTGAGAGTCACCCGGGGTGTGCTTGAATGTTTGACTGGTAATAAATGAAGAATGACAATGACAATACGGTGCGACACACTGACAATGGATGACAATGAATGGATGGTAGACAACCCCCCCCCCCCCCCCCCCCCCCCCCCCCCCCACTCGTACGGAGTATGAGAGAGATATTATATGGAAGCCTGAGCAAGTAAGTACCTGTACTAGCTATAGCGCATGCTCCAACGGATGCAGCGTAAACTCTGTGTACAGGCCACAGGCTACAGGCCGTTACAGCGGTGTGATTGTAGCTACGGTGTATGAGGCTCCCTCTTTACAGCAAGTGCCGGTGGTGTTACGTCTACGACAGCTTCCAACGGAATTGAGGCCTGAGGCATTAACAGAGAGCGTGGGTGAGTGGCGCGTGGGCCCAAAGTAGTTTAGTTCCTCTGGAGCGTGTGGCTCCCGCCCTCAAGTTCTTCCCATGCAATCGCCCTTCTGGTTTTCTCTCTTCAACCACGACAAAACTCTGCCCCCATCGCCCAAAGTCATCACCACGCGAGCCGAGACTTGGGCGCCGCGTCGAGAAACGATACACGGTCGATACGCGATACGGCGGACGTACGTCTCTTCCTTCTTCCTTCGACTTGTCGCGAGGCGGCGGCGACGGGGGAGATCAGCCCGAGGTTCTCCTGGGCCGTTGGCCGGGACAGGCGCTGCTGCTGACCATCCGCAACCAACTTGCGGTGGCGATCCATCAACCCGAACTCATCTCGCAATTTCGACACTCAGTCTCTTTCGAACTTGCTTGTTTTTTTCCCTTTCCCTTGGCTTGTTTTTTTTTTCTTTCGTACCCCGCGATAATACGATTCACAAACCGCGTGCGCGTGTGCTTTTTATCCCCCCTGCTTCATAATCAGCCTTCCGCGTGTTTCATCACCTTAATTTCGCTACCCGCTCGAGACGACAACTTGAACCGATCCGACAAACCGCAGTCATGGCGAACCTCTACTTCACCCACTCGAGCGCGCCGCTCAAGACGGTAGAGGAGATCCAGTTCGGTCTGATGTCTCCCGACGAGATCAAGAGCATGAGTGTGGCTCACATCCAGTACCCCGAGACCATGGAGGAGAACAAGACCAAGCCTCGCGATGGCGGCCTCAACGACCCTCTCCTCGGATCCATCGACCGGCAGTTCAAGTGCAAGACGTGCACTCAGTCTATGAGCGAGTGCCCTGGTCACTTTGGACACATCGAGCTGGCCAAGCCCGTCTACCATCCCGGCTTCATCAAGAAGGTCAAAAAGATCCTCGAGATGGTCTGCCACAACTGCAGCAAAGTGTTGGCCGATGAAGTTGGTTTAACCTGACTCTTGGACTTTCATTTTTTCCTGTTCGTTAGATGCTAACACGGACTCACACCCTTACCAGAGCGATCCCGAGTTTGTCGCTGCGATTCGCACCCGCGATCCCAAGGTCCGCTTCCAGCGCGTCTGGGCCGTCTGCAAGAAGAAGCGCAAGTGCGAGAATGAGGAGCGCGTCGACAAGAACGAGGAGTTCGCCCCCGGCATGAAGCCCAAGCACATCGACAACCACGGAGGCTGTGGCAACGCCCAGCCCTTGGTTCGCCAGGCTGCTCTCCAACTCAAGGCCGCCACCGAGGTATCTACCGAGGATGGCCCCAAGAAGAAGGAGACGGTCCCCATCACGGCTGAGCACGCCCACTCGATTATGCGTCGTATATGTGAGAAGGACCTGCGCAACATGGGCCTCAACTCCGATTATGCCCGTCCCGAGTGGATGATCGTCACCGTCCTTCCCGTGCCGCCGCCGCCTGTGCGTCCCAGTATCTCCATGGACGGAACGGGTACCGGTATGCGCAACGAAGATGATCTGACCTACAAGCTCGGTGACATCATCCGCGCCAACGGCAACGTGAAGCAGGCCATCCGTGAGGGTTCCCCCGCACACATTGCCAGGGACTTTGAGGAGCTCCTCCAGTACCATGTTGCCACCTACATGGATAACGATATTGCTGGACAGCCCCGGGCCCTGCAGAAGAGTGGACGTCCGGTCAAGGCCATCCGCGCGCGTCTCAAGGGCAAGGAGGGTCGTCTGCGTGGCAACCTGATGGGCAAGCGTGTCGACTTCTCGGCCCGTACCGTCATCACGGGTGACGCCAACCTTTCCCTCGACGAGGTCGGTGTGCCTCGCAGCATTGCGCGTACCCTGACGTACCCCGAGACGGTCACGCCGTACAACATCGGCAAGCTTCACCAGCTGGTCGAGAACGGCCCCAACGAGCACCCCGGCGCCAAGTACGTCATCCGCTCCGACGGCACCCGCATCGACCTGCGGCATCATAGGCGTGCTGCCCAGATCTCGCTCGAGTACGGCTGGAAGGTCGAGCGTCATCTCATGGACGGCGACTACATCATCTTCAACCGTCAGCCCTCGCTGCACAAGGAGTCCATGATGGGTCACCGTGTCCGTGTCATGCCCTACTCTACCTTCCGTCTCAACCTGTCGGTCACGTCCCCCTACAACGCCGATTTCGATGGTGACGAGATGAACCTCCACGTTCCCCAGAGCGAGGAGACGCGTGCCGAGGTCAAGGAGCTGTGCCTGGTCCCGCAGAACATTGTGTCGCCCCAGAAGAACGCCCCCCTGATGGGTATCGTCCAGGACTCCCTGGCTGGCGTCTACAAGCTGTGCAGGCGAGATGTCTTCCTCGACAAGGACGAGGTCATGAACCTGATGCTGTGGGTCCCCGGCTGGGACGGTATCATCCCTCAGCCCTCGATCTTGAAGCCCCGTCCCCGCTGGACTGGCAAGCAGCTCGTCAGCCTGGTCATCCCGCCCGAGGTCAGCATCCAGGCTGGCTCGGACAGCTACAATTCCCTGCTGAAGGACGACGGTATCCTCATCCAGGGCGGCCAGCTGATCTACGGCCTGCTCAAGAAGAAGCACGTCGGCGCCCAGGCTGGTGGTATCATCCACATTGCCTACAACGAGCTCGGTCCCAGCTACGCCATGACCTTCCTCAACAGCCTCCAGCAGATCGTCACGTACTGGCTGCTGCACAACGGTCACAGCATCGGTGTCGGTGACACGATTCCCGACAAGAAGACGATCGAGAAGGTTCAGCTCGACATCGACGACGAGAAGAACAAGGTCGCCGACCTCACCGCCAAGGCTACCGCCAACGAGCTCGAGGCCCTGCCCGGTATGAACGTCCGTGCAACCTTCGAGCACGAGGTCGGTGTAGCGCTCAACCGAGCCCGTGACCGTGCCGGTACCACGACGCAGAACAGTCTGAAGGACTCCAACAACGCCGTCACCATGGCCGATTCCGGCTCCAAGGGTTCCTCCATCAACATCTCGCAGATGTCGGCTCTCGTCGGTCAGCAGATGGTGGAGGGGAAGCGTATCCCCTTCGGTTTCAAGTACCGCACCCTGCCGCACTTCACCAAGGATGACTACTCGCCCGAGTCTCGCGGCTTCGTCGAGAACTCGTATCTGCGTGGCCTGACGCCCACCGAGTTCTTCTTCCACGCCATGGCCGGTCGCGAAGGTCTCATCGATACGGCCGTCAAGACTGCCGAGACCGGCTACATCCAGCGCCGTCTCGTCAAGGCGCTGGAAGACCTGAGTGCGCGCTACGACGGCACTGTCCGCAACTCGCTGGGCGACATTGTCCAGTTTCTCTACGGCGAGGACGGTCTCGACGCCATGTGCATCGAGCAGCAGAAGATGGGCATCCTGAACCCGTCCAACGACAAGTTCGCCGAGAAGTACCGTCTGGACCTCGCGAACCCGCCGGAGTGGTTCAGGAGGGACTACGAGTACGGCAACGAGCTGACTGGTGACAAGGAGTCCATGGACCTCTTGGACGAGGAGTGGGAGGCTCTGTGGGCCGACCGCGAGATCGTGCGCAAGATCAACCGCCCCAAGAAGGACGAGGACATGATGCAGCTGCCTCTCAACATCAACCGTATCATCGAGTCGGCTAAGCGCATCTTCAACGTCAAGGCGACGGACCGCAGCAACCTGCGCCCGTCGGACGTCGTCCCTGCGGTCCAGAACCTCCTGAGAAAGGTGGCCATCGTCCGTGGCGCGGACCCCATCTCGCAGGAGGCCGACTCGAACGCCACCATCCTGTTCAAGGCTCTGGTCCGCTCCAGGCTCGCCTTCAAGGACCTGATCAAGGTCCACCGGCTCAACAAGCTGGCTTTTGAGCACATCATCGGCGAGCTCCAGAACCGCTGGGACAGGGCGTTTGTCAGCCCCGGTGAGATGGTCGGTGTGCTGGCGGCGCAGTCCATCGGAGAGCCTGCCACGCAGATGACGCTCAACACCTTCCACTTCGCCGGTGTGTCGTCCAAGAACGTGACGCTCGGCGTGCCCCGTCTCAAGGAGATCCTCAACTTGGCGAGCAACATCAAGACGCCGTCCATGACGGTCTACGTCGACAGCCCGCTGGCCAAGCAGGAGCAGGCCAAGAAGCTCCGCAGCGTTGTCGAGTACACCAACCTGCGCTCCGTCACGGCCGTCACCGAGATCCACTACGACCCCGATATCCAGGAGACGACGATTGCGAGCGACGTGGACATGGTCGAGTCGTACTTCCTCATCCCCGAGGAGGGCGTGGATACGTCGGCCAGGCAGTCCAGGTGGCTGCTGCGCATCATCCTCGACCGCCAGAAGATGCTTGACAAGGAGATCCGCGTCGAGGACATCGCTCAGCGCATCAAGGAGGAGTATCCCAAGGATCTCGCCATCATCTTCAGCGACAACAACGCCGATGAGCAGGTCATCCGCATCCGTACCATCAAGAGCAAGGAGAATCCGGAAGACGACAACGGCGCCTCGATCGAGGACGATGTCATGCTCAAGCGCCTCGAGGCCCACCTGCTGGACACCATGACGCTCCGCGGCGTGCCCGGCATCGAGCGTGCCTTCCTCACCAAGGGCACGACGCTCAACACGACGCCGGACGGCGCGCAGATTGCGGTCAAGGACGATCCTCGATGCACCGAGTGGTACCTGGACACGTCCGGTTCGGCCCTGCGCGAGGTGCTGGCCGTGGACGGCATCGATGCGTCGCGCACGTCGTGCAACGACCTGTGGCAGATCGTCGACGTCTTCGGCATCGAAGCCGCGCGTTCCGCCCTGCTGCGCGAGCTGGTCAACGTGCTGGCGTTTGACGGTTCGTACGTGAACCACCGACACATGGCCCTGCTGGTGGATGTCATGACGTACAGGGGTACCATCTCTGCCGTCACGCGCCACGGCATCAACCGTGCCGACACGGGTGCGCTGATGCGCTGCTCCTTCGAGGAGACGGTCGAGATCCTGCTCGAGGCCGCCGCGACGGGAGAGCTCGACGACTGCAGGGGCATCTCGGAGAACGTCATGCTCGGCCAGATGGCGCCCATGGGCACCGGCAACTTCGACACGCTGCTGGACCCCAAGATGCTCGAGACGGTCATCTCGGACAACTCGCGCATGGGTCTCATGCCTGGCATGCCGGTCAAGGAGGGTGACGTCGAGGGTGCGGCCACTCCGTACGACACGGGTTCGCCGATGGCGGACTCGGGCTACAACAGCATGAGCTCGCCGTCGGCCGGGAACTTCTCCCCCATCCAGGGAGCGGGATCGGAGACGCCGGCCGGATTCGGCACCGAGTACGGCGGCGGCGGCTTCGGCGGCGGGGTCGGCGCCATGAGCCCGTACTCGCGCGGCGGAGCCACGAGCCCGTTCAGCACGTCGCCCACGAGCCCGTTCAGCGCCGGGATGGGAGGCTACTCGCCCACGTCCCCGGCCGGGGGCTACTCGCCGACGTCGCCTCTCATCGACGGAGGGGCCGGCCGGTTCGCGACGACGCCGTCGTTCAGCCCATCGTCGCCGTCGTTCTCGCCGACGTCGCCGATGCTGCGACCGGGCGGTCCGACGAGCCCGACGAGCCCCGGCTACAGCCCGTCGTCGCCCAACTACTCGCCGACGTCGCCGACGTCGCCCAGGCACTACTCCCCCACGTCGCCGGCCAACTTCAACTCGCCGACGTCGCCGACGTACTCGCCCGCGAGCCCGAGCTACAGCCCGGCGTCGCCCAACATCCACGGCGACGGCCCGACGTCTCCGGCCTACTCGCCTGCGTCGCCGTCGTGGTCACCGACGTCGCCGGCTTACTCTCCGACCAGTCCGCGCTTCGCCAACGCGGGGGCAGGGCAGTCACCCACGAGCCCGAGCTACTCCCCAACCTCTCCGTCCTTCTCGCCGTCCACACCTGGGCCGGGAACGTCGGGTAACCAATAGTGAGTTCTGTCCCCGTCAATGATACTGACGTCTTGTATCGTGCATGCTGACTGACCGTTCTCAGCTCTCCTACCTCACCATCAAACGACTGATTTGATTGACCATATTGTTGTCCAATACCTCCTATCTTACTTTTTCATTCATCTTCATTTCTACTGTCCCACTACGCGAGACACGGGTTGTCGTCACGTCCTTTCTTCTTTTTCCTCTTCGCAATCTGCGTCTTGTCTTTTTGTGTGTTTTACCAACTGCGCTGCATCTTGTCAACCCTCTTTTTTTACTCCTGTTTTTTTTCTCCCCCTGGGATTCTCCAGCATAATAGACGACACTTGAAAAGAAATCCAAAACATATGGACTGAAGAAGGAAGAAGAGAAGAGACCGACCAAAAAAAAAGTTCATGCATTACAGACCAAACAACAAACCCCGGATATATGTAAAACCCCCCCCAAAAAAAAGGCTTTGAATAGAAGAAGATGCCAACTCTCAAAACGGGGTGAGATGGTTTCTCGACAGAGAGGGAGAGGGAGATGAGACGTTTTTGTTCTTGTTTTTAAAAGATTTGCAAAGGAGTCGGAAGAGAAGAGAATGAGAGAAAGAAGGAAAAGCAATTAAGGAATGAGGGGAGGGTCGAAAGGGGATATGAGGGGGGGAGGAGGAAAAGGATGATTTTACTGTTTGACTGTCTTGTGTTATCTTTTTTTCCATCTTTTTATTGCATATCCTTGTCTGGTCGATTCCTCTCTATTAAAGAGAGAAAAGTCGTGCTGTGTTTGTCGAGGCGTACAGACAATTGAAGATTGATTTCGGGTTTGTCGCCTTTTAGTTTTTTATTTTATTTTTCTACTTTTTCTCTGAAAAAAAAAAAATTAAAAATTGGAAATATACAGAGGAAAATTGAAGTATAAAAAAAGTACATGTTGGTTACGTTCACACGCGTGCTGATGGAGATAAATACAGGCTGCTCTAGCCCCTTTAAAGGAAGGGTGGCGGCGGTTGTATCGATCTTTGTTTCTACCTACCTGAGTGAGGATGAGGCCGTAGACATAAAAGCTGGGTTGGTGATGTCTGCATAAGAGGCCTGAGGCTCAGCGGAATTCGGACCGGAATAACCATTATACTGCGTTTGGCGGTTGCTTGTACAAGGTACGAGTAATCTGTACTCACATATTACTACCCATGGTCTTGTTCTCGAAGTGATGAAGTCTCGACGCAGTTTCTCCTGACATGTGTAAAGACTGTGAGATGCAGCTGCGGTCTCTCTTGATATGTAATCTATTGTCTCGAGATTTAGTGCATTTGGGGGGACCGGGGGTTTCTCTGGGGCGTAAATTTCTTCCTTCTTTTTTTCTTCCTCTTAATTTTCTTTTTTTAGAAAAAAAAAAACTAATCCTTTCTTTTGAGTAATAGAGGGTCAACACACACACAGGATCAGTCACATGACGCATACGAGATGCGAGAGTGCAGATCTAGCGTACATTATGTCGACTAGGAGAATGGTACAAGAGAAAAAAAAGGAAGAAGAAAAAAAAAAAACTGTTGATGAAGAGATTGAGACAGAGTGATGATTACTGATTCACATAAACATCAAGGGAGGGTCAGATCTATTCGTGGTTGTACATGCATCATGGTATTATTTAATACCCATGACGAGAGATCTGATGGTGTTGGGGGGTTGGGTTGGGTTGGGCTGGGTTTCAGATATTTGTGATTCAGAGTAAGAATATCCCAACAATGATTGCTGTAGATTTTTTTTTTTTTTTTTTGGCTTGTCCTTGCTCTTTCCGCTTATTATCTGTGTGTGCGTGTTTGTGTGTGCGTGTTTGTGTGTGCTGTTTGTTATCCCATGTCTGTTGTTTGTGTCTTGATTGATTCATTTGCTTGCTTTGCTTGCTTGCTTATCTGCCTTCTCACTTCTCATCAATCTGCCCTCTCACCGTCGGACAATGAGTCTGCTCGGGGTATTGGGGGACGATACATCACTCCGTAGAGGAGAGGTAGGAGAAGCGTTATGGTGATGAAGGCACCGGTGACCGACTTGTACGTGTAATGATGTGTGTGGTGCATCATCATCGCTGACCGCCGCCCTCTTTCTTGACGGAATCAGGGCCGGTGACTGTCGAATATCAGCATCTTGACCAGAGAGAAGGTGACCTGTCTGGCCGCTCAACGGACGGCCCTTGCGGCCTTGCCACTCATGTCGAGTCTCTTCTTATTAATCAATATTTATCTAATTTTATTTGATATCTTCAAATTTCTTTTCCGGGGGGGGGGGGGGGGGTCTGTTTTATTTTTTATCATATTTTTGTTCATCGATCTCGTTTTAGCTTTGGTTTCTATCTCAGGAAACAAAAACATCCTCTTTTTCCTTTGTCCTCCATCTCACCATCTACCTTTCCCTGAAACCCAAGGGTTGGAGAGGGTCCAGACATGCAGCATACAGACGGATCTTGCTAGCGTTATGCGTTGCGTGCCTCGGATGATAAAAGGTGGTCGGTCCTGACATGTGCGGGGGGTCATCCGTAGGAATAGAAATGAAATCGCAGTGTAAAGAGAGAGCACGAGTTCAATGAGAGAATGAATATATATTCCTAGAATAAGATAAAAATAAGAACCTTCAGAAGAAGAAGACTATTAAAAAAGAAGATTAACATGTGATCAAGGAGAGAAGAGAGTGGGAAAGAATAGGTACAAGGAAAGACGAAAGGGCGAAGAAAGAGAAGAAGAAGAAGAAGAGGAGGAGGAGGAGAGAATAAAGAGGGGAAGGAGAATGAAAGGAATCAAGATGAGAACAAGTAGAGGATCGGTGAAAGAGAAGAAAGAGAGATGAGAAGGAAAAGTAGAGAATCGGATAGAAGGAGAGAGAAGAGAATGGGGAGAAGAAAGAAAGGAAAGAAGAAGGAAAGGAAGGAAGGAGAGAGAAGAGGAAAGGAAGGAAGGAAGGAAAGAAAAATAAAAGGAAAAGAGGACAGGAGTAGATACAAGCACAAAAAAGAAAAACCGATCCTCAGACTAAAAGTTGAAAAAGAAAGAAAGAAAGAAAGAAAGAAAAAAAAAAAAGTCAAAATCTCTCGCGAGAATACTCTTCTTCAATGTAAGATCCTGATTCTCCACCAAGGCCACGACTCACGACACCTCACAAGGCATACGCCTCACAAGGCATACGCCTCACAAGGCACACCACACACACACCTCACACTCGGTGAAAACATCACCACCATCTCCCCCCACCCACAAAACCCCAGGAACAGAACCCACACTTCCTCCCCCCTCTCCCCCTTCGGGAAGGACGGGAGAGGCACTCAGAGAGGCCCTGGATTCGGACACTGAGGTCTGTGGCAGTACCCCTCCCAGTGCTGTGTGGGGAGATAGATCGTCTCGCACTTGGTGCTGCTGTCGCAGCCCGGCTTTGGCTCCTCGCTCTGGACGGTACATCCGCACGAGGTCCAGTGCTGAGTGGTGACCCAGACGCACATGTTGGGCATGAAGTGAGGATGTCGGTGCGATATCGATCGGTTGTCAAGGTGAAAGGAAAGAGAGAAAGAAGAAAGAAGAGAGAAGAAGAAGAAGAGAGAAAAGAAAGAAGAGAGAAAAGCAAGAAGAAAAATATGAATGTAAATATAAATAAGTTAACAGGAAAGATATTCAAAAAAGCAATGTTCAAAAAAAAAAATAGAGAGAAGAGGAACGGCTCCGAGATCGGCCGGGTTTATCCAACGAAGGAGAGGGGAAAAGAAGAAGGAAGAGAAGAAGTAGAAGAAGAAGAAGAAGAAGAAGGAGCAGGAGGGTTGAGTCTGGGGTGCTAGAATCCTTCCTGTCAGCGTGTCCACTCAACAAGAACGTCCAAGATGGGGAAGAGAGAAAGAAGAGAAAAGAAAGAGAAGAAAGTCAGCCGCTTTACTATCGGAACATACTTGGGAGAGAGATATAGAGTGAGAGAGAGTGTGTATATATGTATGTGAGACTTAACCCGACCGGGTGGGGGTGGGGGGGAGTTGTTGGAGGTTGGAGGTTGGGGGTGTTGGGTTGCTGTGTCTCTTCCAAACCGAAACAGGTAGTAGAAATGTGAATGCAGGGGGGGGGGGGGAAGGAGACTTGTTCAAGATGAGAGATATCGACAAGTTTTTTTTTCTTTCTTTTTCTTTCTGATATCAAGAAGATGGATGTCAAGATGGAGAGAGAGGGAGGGAGGGGGGAGATAGAATAAAAGGAGCTCTGCAACTATCTCGACTTGTCCTTTTTTTTTCCCTACTTGAAAGCAAAGAAGCTGGCGATGGCTCCCAAAAAAAAAGCACTGACGAGATGCTGATGGGACCCCTTTATATATAGGCAGACTAGGTCTCTAGGTTCCCTGGGTCCGATAGCAGAAGTGAATGGAACTTTGTTCATCACAGTCGTACACATTCACCTATTTTTCCTTTTTCTCTTTTTTTTTTTCATAAAAAAAAATCCCTCCTTCTTCTTTACCTTGTTCACAAGACAGAAGCTGGATGGAGGCGGATTTTCCAGTTCCACCAAAAGGGGGTGGTGCAAGGGGTGTGTGCGGGTGCGTGCGTGCGTGCGTGTGTGTGCGTGTGTGTGTAGGTGTTTGTAAACAGGATCTGTTGGTTGTTTCTTTGTCCTCTTTTCTTTTAAATATTTTTTTTTTTCGTTTTATTTGTCCATGTTTGTCCTCACCTCTACCACTCCATCAAGACCCCGCTGTCGATGACGGCTTTTGGGAGAGGGGGGTGACGAGGGTCCTTGACACCTTATCCACACCCGGGTTCGGTCTTGACGGAACATACATCCTTCTCTCTCTCTCTCTCTCTCTCTCCTCCCCCCTCGGCGTTGAGTAATTTCAGCAAAAGATGATAACACCCGGCGCACACCTAGGTGGGCCTTGGCATCGTTCGTGTTGGTCTCAGTCTTGCTGTTGGTCCTGGTGGTCCTGGTGGTCCTGGTGGTCCTGGTGGTCCTGGTGGTGCTCGAGCGAGCAAGGGGAACGACCCTCGCTCTCTGGCAGTCGCACTCTGGCACTCCGAGCCGGGTCCAGGGTCGGGATGCGTCTACGACGTATGTATGAGCTACTACCAACGTCAGCTCTGTTGCCCCCGTCGTGTGCGTGCGTGCGCGCGCGCTTCGCTGTTGGTTCTGTCTGCGCAGATTCATCTGCATGAGAAAGAGTGGAGGCCCGCCGCTCCCGATATTGCTACAGCGCAGCCCACAGAGCCAGAGAGGAGCAGGGCAGGGCAGACCTTGTCCAAGGCGCTGAGCGCGCGGCCGGTGAGAGGATGCCATCCGGACAGAGGAGGAGAGGAGGAGAGGAGGAGAGACCGAGAGAGAGAGAGGGCATTGGCCGTACCGCGTGTATATTGCCCCCGGGAGCTTGTTGGGCTGCAAGTCATGAGGGGTGGTCAACGTTGAAGCGGCCCATTATTGGGTTGACCGATGGACCAAGTGACCCCCCCACAAAGCCGAACAAGGAGGGGGGCTGACGCGAGGACCTGACGCGCGCCCGGCAAGTTAGAAGGGACGAGGCCGGCGAGGCACGACTGTGTGACGGCAAAAAATACGAGCAGGGACAGGTGGCCATGGGCAGGCACTGGTAGGCACTGGTAGGCACTGGTAGGCACTGGTAGGCACTGGTAGGCACTGGTAGGCACTGGTAGGCACTGGTAGGCAATGGTACGCACGGGAGGGGACTAGAACCGGACGGTACCAGCCCCAGTGGGGGAGTGCGTCAGAGCCGATGCGCAGGAGCCGACGGGTGGTCACGACCAACAAGATGGAGCGTGCTTGATCTTAGATCATTTGCCGACCTACTCGGCACAAGTCGGCGGGAGGGCCACAAGATTCCGGGCCAGCAGACGCGGACCTCTGATCGGCTACGGCGAGAACAGTGGCGCGCGGTCAAGGCCGTCTGCGGCCCGTGCCCCAGTCTTGTTGGTGCAGCGGTGTGTGTGCGCTTCAAGGGAGCAGTGATCCTCTGCCGACCACTAGCGCAGCATGGACTGCACATGTTGGACTGCACATGTTGGACTGCACATGTTGGACTGCACATGTTGGACTGCACAGCTTGAGCTGCTGCAACAGCATGGAGCGTGCCAAGCGGATGAATAAAAGACGGACTTGACGTGTAATTCCAGGTAGCCAGACGCGACGGCAACGGTGCCAAGTACTTGGTCCTCCGGCTGACCTGCGGCACCGTCGTGCTCCTGCACGGTGCCGGTACACAGTCGGTCGTGTCCCTCTCCCTGATCTTGTCCTGGATCCGCACAGTTGCGCTTCTTGGTGTCTCCTGTCTCGGCGACTTGGGGATCCTAGCTAGTCGGCACAGGAGTCACGAAGATGCGCGAGATGCACGAATCCGTCAATCCAACGGATGGATTCGATCCGACGCCGTCTACTGATTTCACCCTCATCACGGCCATGGAGCATCCTGATGGCCCTGGCGTCACCGGCAGAGCCCACCACCCCAAAAATCTACTGTCACCACCACCAAGTAGAGTATGCTTGAAGGCTGCGAGATATTACCGAAAAGCGGCGGTCCCGCGTCTATGTACGTCGGCTGGTGAACCTCTCTGCCCTCTGCGGGTCCCGGGTTCCCGGAGGTTGGGCAGGGCAGAATGTAGCCACGGCGCAGGATCAGGGCGCAGGCAGGGCTCGACGATTCCAGTCAGGAGAGCAGGCACTCAGTATGGCCTGTCCCGAGTCCTCGTCCCAAGAAGGCAACGAGCAAGGATTGCGCGGGCCGCAGGAGACGAGGCCTCGCTGTTGGCGGTAGCCACGTCGATCTGCCGTTAGCTGTGTGCGTGGGACGGCAGGACGGGGCTGCATTGCCATCAGCCAAGCGCCGAGCAGCCAGCACCGAGAGGACCAACAGCAAAGAAGGAAGGCAGCAACAACAGGAGCAGCCATCTGGTCCTTGTCCGGACCTGGCTGCTGCGGGTAATCAAGGCCTTCGAGAGATGGCGCACGGGAGCCCCCGTCCTAGTGCCAGCTATCTCGGTGCATTAGCTCGTCGTGTGCAGACACACTGGTGCCTTGGCCTAGCCGGTCCCCCCTCTTTGGTGTGTGGGTGTATGTGGGTGATGACTAGTGACTAGTGGTGTGGTGGTTTAAGATTTGGGGGGGGGGAGGGAGGAATTCCGTTGGCAGATTTCGACATGAAGACGAAATATATTGTACATGTTATAGAGTCCAGAGAGAAGAAGAGCAGAAGTGCAGAGAGGAAGATGACAAGAAGTCAGCTGTATCTGTCTGTCAGGTGTGAGAGGAGAGGAGAGAGAAGGAGTGACGGATGTGACATCACGACGTAAGCGCCGCCGTGCCATCAGCCTCAAAAGAGATCGTCATACGCACTGTACCGGATCCGTAGGCACTGCGTAGTACGATGCAGTAGCATCGGCGCTTAAAGACCTTAACGTACCTAAGAGGGTGCTGAAAGGCGTCTGATCTAACGCTCTGGTACACCGATGTACAGTGCACAGGGCACCTAGACATGACAGGTATGACAGGGGTGGTGGGGGGGGGGGGGGGGGGGGTAGGTTATTAATGTGCAGTCCAAGGCAGGAACCGTCCATCCGTTCCTTCCCCAGACAGATCAGTGTAATTGCCAACTTGGGCAGGGCCATCTCTACTAGGCAAGCCATCCTTCTCCACTGTCGACCACTGCCACACCCACTGTGGTACTGGATATCGCTACAGATTGCAGGTACCAGTATCGATACCTGTACTGCTCGTACTGCTCGTGTTATTACGGAGTAACTACAGATCACAGATTGCGGTGATGCTGATACTGAATCGTACCTGTACTCATATGCACGAGTACGTACCTGCGATATCATCCCTCTTGAACGCCAACAAGTCAGACTGGACGCCGAATAATTGACCCGGCTACGGGTCGAGTGGTTTTGGTTCGGCCTAGGGTCTCTTGTCTGCCTGAAGATTCCGATCATGTACAGGCACGGTACGCAATAGCGCGCACTCCCGTCTTGACAGGGGAGACAGCCAACAATGGGCGGGAAAGAGCTGGGACTGTCGCTTTTTCTAGAATGCAGCTAACCGATTTTTTTTATTTGAAAAAAAAAAACCATCAGACAAGGGGACGGGAAAGACGAAGGAAGAGAAGAAATAAGAAGAAGAAGGGGAGGACACCAGAGTCGAGAATTATTTTCAGACCCGTTCCCTTTTTTCTTCCAAACTCGAGATAATCGAGATATCATTCTCTCCCGAGTCTCAGCAAGTACCGCTACTTGCATCCATCTACAGGAGACAGGCCAGTATTTATCACCACTACCAGCGGAACGCCGTATATGGTGGTACCGGCGTCTGGTCCAATACTGTACGCGCTTAACCGCCCACCTACCCCCCTCCCCGCCCTCCATCATCATCACATTATATCATCATCGAACCTCTCACTTCTGCCCCACCACGCCTCGCTTCTCCATCGAGCTGTCGACAGACACTCGTACCATCCGTCCCGAGCGACGGACTGTGACGGCCGGAACACAGAGATACCTGGAGACCTCTCGTCTCCTCTCTTCTCTGTCCCTCTTTCCCTGCCAGCGCTTATGTCGGATGCATCCACGGCGGCCGGTAACGATGACCGGTGCATTCTCGTACGGGGTCGTCTCCTGCTCTCGATGTAACCGACGACCGGCTCAGCCGTCGTCCTTCTCCTCCTCTTCATCTCTCGTGTATAGCCGGCAGAGCCGAGGACACTGTCCCCGACCTTGGGGAAGGGAAATGATCCTTGCTCGTCACATCTTCCGCCCCCCTTCCTCGTCCTCGGCCCGCCCTCAACCGCCGCGCTTGCGGCTGTGGCGTATCCCACGCTGCATCATGTTACACTCGCGTCCGCCACGAGGGAGGAGAGACGCCAAGCCAACCGCACAGCCCGCTGAGCTCTTTTCCTCCCTGACGGAGAGAGGGAGAGCAGGCAATAATATGCTCTATGCGGCCCAACAGGCGACCTTGCGGTGACCGGTGACGAGCCGGCAGCGATGCCGTGCAATCTGCATCGCGGGAAGCCCCTTGGCGATGGCTGTTGGTCTCTCTCTCGTCGATTCTTCCTTGCGTGCGTGCGTGCTTGCGTACGTGTGCGTGTGCGTGTGCGTGTGCGGTGGGAGGGGGCCTTGTCGGGTGGCCATGCAATCCCTGCCTCGAGGCGAGGCAACGTGCTGATTCTGCTGGCACCTCGAGCCATGGCGACCCCGGTGTTTTCTCCCTCGTACCTCATACCGACCTTCCAAAGACGGACGAGTCACCAACACAGCCCAAGCCCCCGGTACATTGACGGACAGTCAAGTGATTGAGACCGCGTGCATCCGTGACGCTCTGCATATAGGGTGGGTTGCAGAGTGCCACCGACACTCTGCGTCTGTCCCTGACTGCTGCCCTCCCCCCCCCCCCCCCCCCCCCCCCCCCCCCCCCCCCCCCCCCCCCCCCCCCCCCCCCCCCCCCCCCCCCCCCTCCAATGCCTCTCGTGTATGCCATGACCGCGGAGTATCACATTATTTCCCTCTCGACAAGCTCAGAGCCTTGATTCATGCAGACAGCAAGGGAGAGTCACATGTGGGCACCAGCTCACCCTTTCTCCTGGCCGATGATGCTAGACGGCTAGCTGGTGCTACTTCGGACCCCAGTCACGAGGGCGGACTTGTACGGCTCGGTGGCACTAGTTGCGACGGGGCTGCGCCTCGACCAAAGGTGCGACAGAGTTCTCTAGCGTGCATCGGCTTGCATCATGTCTGGTGATGAGCGCCGTCGGGCTTGTCCGCTAGGCGAGGGTCCTGTCGAGATATGGGACTGTGCACATGCGATATGAGCAGAAGTTCTGTGGAGAAGTGTGTGCGTGTGCGTGTGCGCGTGCGGGCGTGCGGGCGTGCGCGCGCGCGGGTGAGAGAGGCAGCGCGAGGCAAAAGTCAGGCCACGCCCAGCCTAGGCGTGAGAGACTGTTCTTACGAGGTGACACTGTGTGTGTCTCGAGTCTATGTGATGGCCTGCCCTGCAATCTCCTCTCCCCCTTTACCTTGCCACGCACCACTCGACATCATGGTGGAGCAGGGGGGAACCCAGCAGCATGGACCGCTCCGTCCGCTGTCCCCGAGTCCAACCTCCCCTGGACCTAGGATGATGGGAGATATCGCGCTGCCTCTCGGGAACGCCACCTGGAACCGGACAGGTCCATCACCAACACGGCAAGAGGGAAGGCTCTGAACAGGACCGACGAGACGACCCCGAAGGTCGTCCACGCTGTCGGGGAAGGAAAGGGGAGGAGGGGGCGGTACTTGAGGGGGAGTTTGGGGGATCCCACGGCCGTCAGACACGGGCTGCCTGGATCCATCGACTGGACAGGTCAGGACACTGCTGTCCGGACAGGACACACAGCGAGCTGCAGGTTGATTGATTGCTGCTCGCTCTCGAGTGAGTCTGGATGGGGCTCATGAGTCATGGCAATGGCGACAGAAATATGGACTGGCAATGTCTGATCAGAGTGTGGGTAGTGGTGCACACGGGGTTCGGGCAGCACCACTCACCTACAGGAGGTATCGAACCCTGCTCGTACCCGTACAGACAGAGAGAGGTACGTCGAGATTCCGGCATCCCGGTATGGGGTACCAGGTGGTACTACGCAGTCAAGAGTTTATCTGGAGGGTCTCGGTTCAGAGGGGTTCTCGGTTCAATCCGGGGAAAGTGTCGACGTTTTGCGGGGGGGGGGCGTGGCGTGGCGTGGCGTGGCGTGGCATAGAGTGGGTGTGGCGTGAGATGGCATGTCTAGCCGTCCGTGTCTAGCGACTACCCGTGATGCAGAGCGGAAAGAGTCGGCAAGAGGCGACAATGTCTAGGGATGAGATGATGACGACTCTACCCCTCAAGCGGCTCCGAGGTGTAAGGTCTGAATCTGCCGAAGGGTCCGACGAGACGGGGACTACGTACACGTTACTACAGGCACTACCCTGGAGAGTACCAGACGACTACCATGCCCGAGAAGCGGTCAATCAATGTACGTGATTATATGCAAGGCATGAGATGAAGAGAGAAGAGAACGAGAGAGACAGGGAACGAGAGANGATGATGACGACTCTACCCCTCAAGCGGCTCCGAGGTGTAAGGTCTGAATCTGCCGAAGGGTCCGACGAGACGGGGACTACGTACACGTTACTACGGGATATGAGCTGGACGGTCGCAGATATCTACCATGCCCGAGAAGCGGTCAATCAATGTACGTGATTATATGCAAGGCATGAGATGAAGAGAGAAGAGAACGAGAGAGACAGGGAACGAGAGAGAGAGAGAGAGAGGTTGAACGGCATGCCGGACTTGGCGCGGCGACGCGGAGGTGGCTCGGCAGACGGCAACGGAAATTTTTGGTGGAGACGCCAGGGGAAAGGAAAGAAGGAGGGGAAAGAAGAGTCGACGGTACGGACTAGGGGAAACTATAAAGTATCGCAGGGAATTTGAAAATGTATAGGGGAGAGAAGTAGATATTCGATATTAAATAGATAGATAGAATGAAGAAGAAGATGATGTGTGTGTGTGGGGGGGGTTGAGTAGGAGTGGGGTCTCCCGAGATTGATGGCATCCAAGGGTTGAGGGGTTGAGAGAGGGAAAAGATGGGACAGACATGTGACAGTCATGTCTTTTTTTTTTCCCTTTTCTTTTTTTCTTTCCATTTTTCATTTTCTCTACGTGTGCGTATGTGTGTCATCTCTCCATCGGCAGAAGAAAAGAAAAAGAAAGAAAAAAAAAGGGCTAGGCTGGACGGATGAACGGATAGAAAAAGGGTGCCGTCGCATGATGACGAATGGATAAGCAGATCGACAATGCAGTTCTAAGAGGAGGGAGGAAGAGGAGGAGGAGCAGAGGAGGAGGAGCAGAGGAGGAGCAGAGGAGAGGGGGAAGAAGGACTGAGAACTGAGACTGATTCATGGGAGGAGACAAGTCGTACACATAATCATACTGGTAACATTGTAACATACCATGTCTCGTATCGGAAAGTGCCAATCGGTGTGCCGATTGTGCAACTGTGCAATTGTGCAATCTATCCATCTATCCGTGTCATCTGTATCTGCATCTGCCGAGGTGCCGAATTTTTTTATATATATTTTTTTATATATTTTTCAAGTCTCCTTCTCTTTTCTTGTCCAAGGGTTTTCTTTGTGGTTGTTTCCTCTTTTCGTATGTGGGTAATATCTATCTTGTTCAAGATTCTAGCAGCAGAATATTATCACGACAAGTATTCAAGTATTCATTCTTATTACATGCATATATACTCGTAGCTGACATGATTGGCAACACACATGATAGTGTTGTTGTTGTTGTTGTTGTTATTGCTGTTGTATGACATGACCCATATAACGGAGGGAAAAAAAAAAAAAAAAAAGGTCAAGTGACGGTTATTGGAGGGGGGGGGGGGAAGAAAAGGAGGGGAAAAAAAGGGAAGAGGAAAAAAGAAAAGAAAAGAAAAAAGAAAAGAAAAAAGAAGAAGAAAAGGCCCTTGTCGGTCGTGGGAGTCATGGAAAAGGGTCCCGTGAGTGGGCTCGGTTGATGCGGTTGGTGCGGGGAACACTCCTTTTTTTTCTTTTAATTTTTTTTTTTTTAGTTTTTTTTAATCGTCTCTTTTTCTCTTCTTTCGTCATTACTCTGACCATCTGGTCCAGCACATGCCATGTATCATGTATTATATTATTATATATTATATAGAATATAATCACGATTATCACCGCGGGGGGGGGGGGGGGGGTCTTATAAATGAGCCGCATCTCTCTCTCCCTCTCGTCTCTCTCTCTCAGTCTCTCTCGGTCTCTCTCATTCTCATTATTCTATTCCTCCCTCTATACATTACTCATTACAACTCCTCCTCGGACGCTCCTCCTCGGACACCTCTTTCCTTCTGACAGACAGAACAACGTCTCCTGCCCTCCCTTCTCTCTCGGAGTCAGAGACATATATCTACACCACACCACACACCCCCAAATAATACACACGCAATACCACCTTGCCATTCTCTCCCATCTCTCCCATCCTTCCCCCCCCCCCAACACGCACACCCCGCCGGAGACACACACAATGTCCGACCAGAACAACTTCCTCCGTCTCACGCCCGAGAGGCAGCACCGCCGTCCATCCACCTTCCTCACCCTCGCACCGTCCACGTCCTCCTCCTACCCGAGGATGGCCAAGAGCCGCGTCAGCAGCCGAAAGGAGTCCATCGACTCCGAGACCTCCGTCGCCTCTCCCGACTCCGTCACCTCGTCCCCTCCCCCCGTCACCGCGTCGCGACCTGGCCCGTCCGCGGCCGCCATGGCCTCCGCCGCCGCTCACGCCCGTCGCAGGTCGAGCACCGCCACCGACGTCAGGGGTGAGGTCAGGATGCTCAAGCTCGGACCTGTTCACTGGGGAGAGCATCTGGGCGATCACAAGGAGGATTTCTGCGAGATGTAATCCATCTCCCCTTCCTCTCTCCGGAAACCGGAAACCGGAAACCGGAAGGGAAAAAAAAAAAAAAAAAAAGGGCGAGCAATCGAGAATGACAAGCGAGCGAAATTTCTCACCTTTTTTCTTATGCAACCCAATCTTTTCTCCTCTTTTGCCGTCTTTCCTCTTCTCATACCATATTTCCTCTTTTTTTCTGCGTGTGCGTTTAGGAGCGTTATTTTTTTTTTTTTTCCTCTTCTTCACGAGGGTCGGATATATTTGGACACAGATTGCCATAGAATCGAGTAAATAACACAAAAACATGAAATATACATAAATCGAAAAACAAAGAAGAAATGTGTGGGTGCACAATTTTCACATGTAATGCATTATAGAGTATTATTCTTATTATTACTACTTTTGCTTGTACTTGATACCCGACCATCCGTTCCTCCGTTTACCCCGCCGGATGCATCCAGGGCATCCAGGGCATCCAGGGCAGCAGCAGAAAAAGTTTTTTTTTTTTTTTCGTGCCCCTCCGAGAGCGGGGCTTTTGGATCAGTCACTGATGGTAGATCTGATAGTAGGGGTTAGGTTGAAACGTCATTGAAGAAAATATAGTAGAGAGAGAGATGTAAAAAAAAAAAAAGCATCGGACGCATGACCGGAAGAAAAAAAAAAAAAGAAGGGGAAAAAAAAAAAAGAGAAAATCCCTCCTAATGGTCGAAAGAGGGTCCAGATCAACAAGGTCCATTGACAGGGTCCATTGGCAAGGTCCATCAAACAAGGTCCCATCTATTTAAATCCACAAAGTCCGGATCAACGAGAGCCTCAAGTCTCAACCTTCCTTATCAGGTAGGGGGTCCTTGACTCCAACTAGTACTAGCAGTATTAATACTGATAATAACCATGATGATAATAATAATAATACTATTACTACATCTGCACAGTGTCATGATAACATTACTACTGATATTTCTACCCATTCGGTAATACGACTACACGCGGTCCATATTACTACTGCTCATGCTTACAAACAGATGCCCTCCTCTTTTCTCTTCTTCTTTCTTCCTTCTCCCCCCCCCCCCTCTCTCTTCTTACATGCGCATTCACCGCCCCTAGACATCGCCACCGGTCCTTTCACGCCATGTACATCCATCAATACACCATCCCATCATGTGAACGTGCTCAGTAGATTCGTTGCCTTCCTTCTGAGAACAGATTGAGAACAGATTGAGAACAAGACCTCTTCATCACAGCTATGACATCGTACACACCCTTGTTTTGTTGAAATGTCTTTTTTTTCTTGGTTATTGTTATTCGACGAGAGGCAGAAAGAAACGCAGCTGATAAAAAAAAATCAAGTAGTTTGGTTATGACAAAGGGAAAAATATGATAGAAAAAAAGGGAGAAGAAAGAACCATCAGGGACAGAGAAGGACAGGAAGTAGATGAGACACAAGAGATCCCCTGGTCTGAAGTACTAAGAGGTACCAAGTAGTAGTGAGTGGAAATCCAACCAAACCCTCTTCCCTCGTTTCTCTTGTCCAGATGACCTCTCTCATCTCCCATCCACTTCCCCCATCATCATCATCTTCTTCTTCTTCTTCTTCGTTTCGATCAAGGCGCTGCCTCTATTGGCAGTCAATCCTGCCTACAACCCATAGTTGTAGACGACAAAGGAAAAAAAAACCCTTTTTTTCGTCGCGTTTGCTGCCTTTCTTTTTCTCTCCAAACGCCGCATGAACCGTCTCTCTCATAATCATCTCTTTTTTTTTTCCACCTTAGGTATCTCGTTCTCTTTTATATATTCGTTCTTCACCTATAAGGGCGGGCGG